TCAAATACTTTGAGACATATTTTTTTATCATACATATCTCCTGTAGATATACCCCTATCTAATATTACATTGTGCACACAATTAGTGCCCCCCCCCCCCCCCCCCAAAAAAAAAAAAAAACGTAACATGATTTGTAAATAAAAAATTATGCAAATTATCGAAAAAATTGTCTTGGATTTTTTGAAATTTAGTACTGCCTCTACATGGTGCATATATATTGATTAAATGTAGCACTTCTCCATATATATCTATATAGGCAGAAATAATTCTGCCGTCATTGTCCCAACTAATGTTTTTAAACAAAAAGTTCTTTAATTTATCTTTTATCAAAATGCCAACTCCTTTGGAGTTTGAAAGTCCCGAATTCCATATGCTTTTGCCCATTTCCATTCTCTTGCCCATTTTATTTCCAAATCTGGAGTTCTATGAGTCTCCTGTAAAAATATTATATCTACTTTTTGATGAGATAGTTCTAAAAATAGTTCATCTCTTTTTTCTTCATTCCTTATACCATTTACATTTAATGTCATTATATTAACGAATAGTGTTGATCTGAATTTTTCTTTTTGATAAATTCATTTTCCTATTCCACATCTTTCTTTTTTGAATTGTCCTGCACGTTTCCATCTTTGTCTGTATGTTGCTTTGTTTCGATATTGGCATTTGCTTTTTTTGCTTCCATTTTCTTGGTTTTCCTTTTTCTTGCAACTTTTCTATCATTTTTCAATTCTAAACTATCCCTATTTGTTTCCTGTGTTTCACTTGAGTTATCTGAGGTGTTACTAGTACACTCTGTGACAGCAACAACTTCCCCATCATTGTTTAATCCATAAAGAACAGTTTCATCATTTGTTTCACTAATGGAACTTGAATTTATACTTTTTTCTTCATTTTCATCATTAGCAGAGCTTATGTCAGAAAGATTTCCAAAGAAATTTTCAAATCTTTTCGAATCATTTTCTTCAACAGTGGTCAACTGGTTTTCTCCCGCATTTCTCTTGTCTCTATTTATACATTCAGGAGTGCTTGCTTGTGATCCTTTTACTTCATGCCTTTCATCACATTCATTACGAACAATTGGTATCATATCTTCACTAGTTTCCATGGCTTCTTCTTCATTTTGCTGCAATTTTTCATTTTCATCACCCCACATTTTGTATAGTAGCATTTTTGTTCACTTCTGTTTTTTCATTTTCTCTAATTTCCTTCTCACCCTCTTTATCACAGTTTTGTACTACTTTGGTTTGATTCGATATTGCTTTTGTTCTTTCCAATTGTTATTTAGATGTTCGTCTTGTTTCAACTTGATTTCTTTGACCTCTTGGGATAAACAGTTGACAGTGTTGCATTATATGACTTTTTTGCCACATAGTGTACATGTCGGAGTTTGTCCCCAATATTTAACCAACATCGTATGACCTTTTATTTTTACAAAGCTTTTGATAGGATACTGATTTAAATTTTCCTTTTTCACAAAAAAAACGACGAATTCCATTTTTTAGACTCTTTTTATCAAGTAACTCGACCATATCTTCTGCATTTCCATGGAACTCTCTGAAATAATTCAGAACTACCTCATTGTCTATTGGAATGGGTATCCAATGAATAAACACTGCACTTTTTTCAGCTACATAAAGACGATGAAATGGTAACTCTAATGAAGTTTCTCTTTTGATTTCCCATAGTTTTGCATCAACTTGAACTGCAAATTCTCTGCTTTTGAATGTCACATCTACACTAGCATTTGATAATTGTACAAAACCTTCTAATTTGGTGAAGGGTATTTGAAGTTTTTCAAATAATTCCTATATGTCTTCCCTTCTTGGTGTGCTTTCGAATCTGAGAAACATACATCTTGAACGATTAACAGTATTTCAGTCCTTTATATCTTGTTGTCTTAAAGTAAAGTATCAGCATATGTCATTGCTGTTGCCATATTGCTGAATTGTAATGATGTCTGATGATCTTCAACCCATCACACTTTATGTATCTTGGTTCTAACTTATAAATATTGTAACTTAATCGATTAGCGATTACGTTATATTTATCAACAGCCTATGATCTGAAATCTTAAACAGCGAATAATGTCACTTTTCCCGCCTCTTAGGGGATTTTCTTCCCAGGACACCGTGGCTACATACGCAAGGGAGGTACGCGTATATTAACATGGCAAAGTAGGACAAGTAGAAATGGATAAAAGTTTCTATTTCTAAGCTACCAATTATGGTAATCGATCACCATCTGAGATTCCAGGCATTAAGCCTTCTTTAAATGGTTTGATCAATGACATGTATATATGCTCATTCGTTTGAAACATGATGTAAATAAGACGCCATATTTCAATCAGTTCCGTCATCACTTACACTTACTGAAGCTATAAATTTGTTTCATATTCAAACCCATAACAATATCTTACAAATGCTGTCAACCTGTCCTCGACGTACGCTTCAATAATATCATTGACATACTTGATCTGTACAAAGCCTGGAGGTTCGCATAACCGCAAACAAAGAGGGTTGAATATGACTATCAAGACGTGCGTGGGATTCAAGTGAGTCGAGTGCGGGAAAAATATGGGAGGGCAGCGGGTCGAGTAACCGGGAAGGAGATGGGTTAGTGGGTCGAGGATAAGAAGGCTGAAGGAGATAGGGCGTCAGGTCGAGGATAGGAAACGGGGAGGGAGATAGGGTAGTGGTTAGAGGATAAGGGGGCTGGGAAAGGTGGTGTAGTGGGTCGAGAATGGGAAGGCTGAGAAAGTTAGACCAGCGGGCCGAGTATAGGAAACAGGAAGGGTGATAGGGAAGTGGGCCGAGGATAGGAAACAGGGAGGGAGGTTGAGGAAGATGGGGCAGCGGGCCGAGTGTAGGGAACCGGGAGGGAGATTGAGAGAGGGCAGCGGGTTGAGAATAGGAAAGTCGGGTAACGCTGTGGTCGTAGGCCTACCAAATTTCAAGCAAGGTTACGAGCGCCTAATACAGTGCCACGAGCTACTGATACAATAATATTAAATTAAATATATTGTAAAATTGTGCGTTTGTTGTGCAGTTTTTCCTAATTGTGCACCCAGAATTTTATTAATTTGATAGGCAATGCCTATCCGGGAACATTTCGGTCTTTACAAGGACACAAGCTCCTTGCATATCGTTAAATATATATGGGTGCTTGTACATGGTCTTGTTAGGAACAAAAGACATGCATTAGCGTCGCATAAAAAAGAAAATTGGACATGAATAGAACAATTTTTCGATCTGCTCATTGCCAAATGATATTTTTTCGCTTCCATTACAGTCAGTACAAAAAAAACATTTTGTATAATTCCCCCCGTCCCATCCATGTTGACGTTACTGAGATATAATCGTCTCTGTAGGTGACGCTAAGATATCTAAATATCCACTAATAGCGAACAATTTTCATTTTAAGGAACCAATATTGTCTTTAAAACGGCATTCATCCAAACGGCAACAAATCAGGTTAGTGCTTATAATAGTTTAGCCTTCTGCGTAACTAAATGCAATTAGATCTACTAACTAACCGTGCCCGACTCTGGCTTAACTTCCGAGATCAGATGAGATCGAGTGTTTTCAACATGGTATGTGTTGCATCAAAAATCAAATAAAGTTGTAAGAAAATTCCGTTTTTGACTAACGTAGCGCCTCGGTACCGCGCTTTAACTTTAAAGTGGTGAAAATTATATTTTCATATACAGTATATATATATATATATCGAATTCGAAAATTTACATTCTAAAGTATATTTACGGCAATAAGGCGATATTTTTATGGCGTTCACGATACGTGAACGGGGGTTGTTTACAAAACAATAGCAACGGTTTTGGGTGTAGGCGATGAAGCACTACCTGATTATTATATTACGCGCACCGGATTATAAGGCACGCGATCGATTTGAGATGAAAAGGATTTAAAGTGCATAAAATACGGTTGTTTGGTATATTTTTACTGAGGTCAAAGGTCGGGAAAACATTCATTACATTTGTAAGTAAAAATTTCCACACGCTCAATATTCATTCGCTACTTTAGTTTTTGACTTGTTTATGTGATGAATTGTATATTTACGTTGACGACAGCCAAACCTTTAACCTTTGTATGCATATGCATTTATTTCGTATGTATATATTTCTTGGAATTCAACACAGAGGCGATAGAGATCAACAAATATTCCAGACGCAGCCAAGCGACGCGATTAAAAATTACTATAGTGACATTCCACAAATTAAAATGCAATAACTGTGGGTAATTTAATGAAAAAGAGGAATACCGTAAATGAATTGAACGATTTGGAAATATTACAACTGAGGGAATTATCCTAATGTAGTAATGTATATGTTTGTTTACTTTTTGTACACGATATGCAGATACCGGTAGACTATGTCTTTATTTATAATTATTTTATTTATTTTTTACTTATTTTGTTATTAAATAATCCACATTGTGGAACCATTAAAAAAATAAAAGGTAATTTTTGCAAAATGGTAGAGAATTCTTCATAGGCTCGTTAAATTCATTTCACTATAAATATAAAATATCCTAATTTTGTTAAGGGATTGGAGATACTCAAGAAATTGTGTTTTATTAATGTTATGTTGTAATGGAATATGGGAATAAACTTTTTTATTAGTTCACGGTAATTGGTAAATTTAATAGGAAAAGAAATAAGTTTAAATATTCTCTTCATCTTTCATTTATATATTATGTTTGCTCATAATAAAAAAAATATCGATCTACAAAAAAGACACAATCTTGATTTGGTCGATCAAAATTCAATTCAATCCTGTATACATCGGATTTTCTCAAATAAAAAAATGCTATCCCTCTGTCCAAATACAGAGTTATATACAAAAACAATATATTGCCGCTTTATCTGTTGAATTAGTCAATCCGAATCAATGTCTTTAAACTTTTTCCCGTATTTTTTTATTTTGTTATTCAAGTTAAGAAATAATTACATTTATACTGATCAGTATAATCAGTTATATTCAATCTTCAAATATATTAAACAGAATATGCAAATTAAATTAACAGCTTAGATTTCTTTATTTATCTTTTCCAAGTATAGCCTACTCAAATTGGTTGAAGGTCAATAATATGTTTCCAAGCACGGGTCAAGGCCCAAAAAATGTTGTTCAAAATGCAAGACAAGCAAGAGAAGAACGAGCATTACAGAAAAAACAAGAAGTTGCCATCTTGAAGATTCAAGCACTTGTGAGAGGATTTCTCTCAAGAAGAAAATTTTGTCGATCTTGGATGGATGATATTGACATTATCATTGGATACAAAGAAGAAAAACCGTACAATGTGTCAAAAACTAAGCATAATTCATCTAACACGAACATTGTATCAACTTCAAAACCTGCTGTTGATAATAAAATGACACAAGAATGGCAATTTAAATCATTTTCTTCATCAACACTCACAGGGACTTATGGCAATTTATCTCTTAATCAAAACAAAAATATTCAGGATGCTAATCCGAATAAAAATGAAACGAGCGCTGAACAAGCTTCCTCCGATAAAATCAACTCCGCACAGACAAGCTCTGTGAAAACAGAAAATTCTGAAAATATATCTATAGAATTGGCTATAACACCAAAAGTCTTGAATGGCACTGAAATATTCGATGTTACAAAACGATTGCTATTTATATTCAAACTTGAACGTGACAAATGGAGATTTGAAAAATTATGCAAAATAATTTTGGACAATTCAAATTCAGATAAAAATATAAAGGTATCATATTGCAGTCTTTGTGTAAGTAAACAATTTGCATTGCCATGGATACAGCAAGTTAAAAATCTATTGAAGATATGTTGCCGGTATTTGGTTGTATTAAATCCACAAGAGCATCATAGCTCACGATTGATCAACATTTGTCTAAATATGATGCTTTTATTTACTGATGCATCCGAATGGAAAATAAGTAAAAAACAGCCAGCACTGAAGGTAATATTATCTCAGATAAGTAACAATATTTCCCTCGATTTACTAAATCGTTCCTCAATGCAAATTCTCGGATCATTGCTTAATAAAAAAGTGGCATCCATGCAGACCCAAAATAATGAACCTATATTACTGGCTGCGTTCACCATGGCAACGAGACCGCTTATCACCAGTGGTGTAAAAGATGACAATCTAGTCATTTTTGTTAAATATATTTTATCAGTTCCAGCGCTTATCAGCAATAAAACTATACCTCATGGAGTATCTGTCTTAATTAAAAATCAGATATTACATCGAATTTTATCATTACTACATGGTGAAGGACAGTGCATAGCTTACAAAATGTTTGAGAAGAGACACAATTCATCAAACACAGCCATAGATGTTCTATGCACTGTCGCGAATCTTGGACAACTTGCTGTATTAGATAAGAATGCTTTGGAGGGAAATTACATGCAGTATGTGTCACTCATAAATCAGTTACTTGATTATTTAGTTCAATGCAGTTGCCAACAAAATGCATCCTCTTCTACAACTTGGCACCCAGTTCTCGGGTTTTTCAAATCTTCAGAAAACGCACAAAATCAGTCAATGAGGTTTGTTAAAATACAGCTTGAAAGTTACTGGAACCCTGCCTTGTTAAGAGCAGTCTTTCGAGACGTTTTGACACTTGAATCATTACATTCTGATGATGTCACTCCCACTCAAGCTGAACAACTCGCTACAAAAGTAGTTCAAAAAGCGAAGTTGTCTGATAGAGTTTCATCTTATTTGAAAAAGTTTTCGATGTCGAAGTCTAGAGTTGCTTACAAACCAACAGGGGGTCGAAAACTCGAATATGCGGAGGTAAAAAACACTATGTCGACCTGTTTAATGCTAAGAAAGCTGTTGGGTGTCATTACCAAACAGTTGCAACTTGAAATGTTAACTGGACTCACTTTTATGGATGAAGTTTTATGTAGATTATGGAGATTTATTTGTGAATTGGGATCTTCTGGCGGACTGAAATTATTCCTTTCTGCATTGACTCTACCACCTGATGTAGCGGAGCCATATTTTGCTGTTTTTACCCTGTTTTGTGATATGACAGCGCATATTTTATCCATTCTTGATGATATTGAATTTTACGAGGAACAGATACCTTTTCATTTGGAAGAACTTGTCACAATATCAGAATCTTTAAAAACCTTTGTATTTCGAATCATTTGGGAACATAAGCTATCTAATCCAGATCACCAAATGTATGGTGTTTTTGAATCAGCGTTAACATTACTACTGATGCTTTATGATAGAGATGCTAGAAGACCATTTACTCCTATTGGCCATTGGATATGTAGGGATGTTAAAATGAGTACAATTTGGTCTGAAATTGAGAAATCTTCTACAAGAGGCTTAACTGTGATTGATAAAATTCCATTTGTGATTCCTCATAAAGATCGAGTTGTATTGTTCAGATCATTTGTGGCAACAGAAAAAAATGCATATTATGATGAAATTCCGTCACATATTACTGTTCATCGAAGTCGGCTTTTAGAAGATGGTTTCGAACAACTTAGCGCGATGCAGAATATAATGTTAAAGGGAACAATTCGAGTAAAGTTTATCAATGATCTAGGACTTGATGAAGCGGGAATTGATCAAGATGGCGTTTTCAAGGAATTTTTAGAAGAAATTATTAAAAAAGTTTTTAATCCTGACATGAATTTGTTTCGAATTACTACGGAAGAGGATGGAAAGCTTTATCCATCACCATCTTCATATCTCCAAGATGACCACCTTCGACTGTTCAATTTCGTTGGACGAATGCTTGGAAAGGCTGTATACGAAGGTATCGTAGTTGATGTGCCATTTGCAACATTCTTTTTAAGACATTTGCAACAGCAACATAGTTTATTGTACAGTCCGCTTGACGAATTGCCTTCTCTTGACGCAGAATTTTATAAAAATTTAACATGGATTAAAAGATATGAGGGTGACATTTCTGATCTCGATTTGACATTCACTTATGAAGAAGACGTGATGGGACGACTTGAAACTCGAGAATTGGAACCTGGTGGTGCAGCTATTCCTGTTACTAATCAAAATAGAATAACCTATATTCATAAATTAGCACATTATCGTCTACACACCCAAATAAAAGAGCAAACTAGAGCGTTTATAGCAGGCTTCAGATCAATTGTTAACAAACAATGGACATCAATGTTTTCTGCACCTGAATTACAAAGATTAATTTCAGGTGACAATGTTGACTTAGATTTATCAGATTTGAAGAAAAATGTAACTTATTATGGTGGATTCCACTCATCTCACAGGGTTGTAAAATGGTTGTGGGATATTTTAGAAAAAGATTATACTCCACAACAACGAGCTGCTTTTCTCAAATTCGTTACTTCATGTTCGAGACCACCTATTCTCGGCTTTACACATTTGCAACCAACATTTTCTATCAGATGCGTTGAGGTCTCGGACGACGATGACACAGGGGATTCTGTTGGCACTGTATTGAGAGGATTTTTCAGAATATCTACCAAGAAACAAAGCGGACAAAAGCACAGACTTCCTACGGCTTCAACGTGTTTTAATTTGTTGAAACTTCCTAATTATCCATCGAAAGACATTTTAAGAGATAAGCTCAAACAAGCGATAGCCAATAATACTGGATTTGAATTGTCATAAGCATTTTTGGGAATATACAAGATCTTCCAGCATTATCTGTTGTTTGTCATTGTTTTGTGTTAATTTTTTTTCCGGAATCTTGCCCTAAAATTTTTATCAATCATATTAACTGACAATTGCTTGTTGAGGATTATAATTATCCTCATTTAGTGTAGTGTAGGTTTTCATATTCACCCCGCGTTTGAGAAGAGAGTCAGCGTGATGACTTGTTCAGATGGCCTCTCGTCAGATTACCAGTCAATGTGGGAAATAGTTAAAACAATTACTAGTTCCAGATGCATGGATTTGATGGTGGACGAAGCCGTGAACAACCAGTGATTACATCAACCTCCCTTCGGTGATGAGCAGTCCAGCAATCCTGTCACATAATTATCCCCATTGCGAGCGCGTTTTCAACTTGGTATGATGCACCAACTGCTCGCTGTGTTTCAGAAATTGGACAGATAGAAGCTTCATATAAGAAGCTTTTCTTATGACTACCGGTATTTATTGTTTTCAATATTACTTCTTGATTAAGAAAATTGCTTGTTATATGTGCTAGATTTGCTTGAATCAATGTTCAGGTAATCAATGATTTTAGTTTGACCTCATTCTACTTTTCATATTATATTGATTTCTGATGTATCTCATGCTCATGGTTACTATATGCTTGTAACAGCTAATCAGCACTCAGCAGCGTTTAAGGTGGTGTAGAAAATTTGTCTGATTTTTGTCTTTTGTGACAAATTTTGTAAACATACCGGTATTAAATGAAATAAATAAAGAAAAACTTTCATTTTTTTGTGATGGCATGCGCATTGTTTAGACAGTAATTATGCCCAAACTAAAAGATACTGTTCATTCTATAAAAATTGTAACCTTAAATGCATTCCATTGGTGGCTTTTGTAGATTCGTGTTTGGCCGTAGAAGTACGGTGGGTGTTGAGCATCTACGAGTTAGTTCATTATAGATGTTATGTACTGTGAAAATTTACCTTTCAAAATTTATTGTATAAAGGAAGAAATTTATATGCGATCTTGCTTGTTATGAATCTGATCTGTATTAGATTATGATTTTGTTCTTTATTATTATATATGGATAGTTGTCGTAATTAAAACTTGTTTGTATCAGTTTTGTTTGGATTATTAATGTTTAAAATTGGATATCAATTCGTCCATTGTACAGCGAAATTATAATACGTTATAATTTGTGAGAAAAAGATTTTTGAAATGTATTTTTCAATAAAAGTATCTAAACTTCTGATTTCTCAAATTTCTACTTTTTTCAAGTTAATCTTTGGAAATTTCCAAAAGTTGTTCAAAAAACGTCACATTATATTTCTTTATTTTATCCTTATCATGCACTTGATGTTAAATTTTGTTTTCTATTTCAGAAAGATATATGCTGGTTCTAAATGATAAAATTAAAATATGTTTGTTTATCTAAGTAAAAAAATCGCAATTCCTAATGATACAACATTAAAATGTGTCTCATGGAACAAACAATTTGGCTTCATTGCTTGCGGAGGTGGGGACGGATTATTAAAAGTTCTCAAGCTGGAAACACAAGTATCTGATGATTCAAAAGTCAAAGGATTGGCAGCACCTAGTAACTTGAGCATGAATCAATCGTTAGAGGGACATAACGGCGAAATCAGAGTTGCGACGTGGAATGAACAATTTCAAAAACTGACAACGAGTGATCAAAATGGTTTGATTATCGTGTGGATGATGTATAAGGGGAATTGGTACGAAGAGATGATTAATAATCGAAATAAATCGGTGGTCAGATCAATGTGTTGGAACGCGGAAGGACAAAAAATATGCATCGCGTATGAAGATGGGGCCGTCATTGTAGGCTCTGTCGATGGTAATCGTATTTGGGGAAAAGAATTCAAAAACATGCAACTTACTCATGTCACTTGGTCTCCTGATGGAAAATTATTACTCTTTGGAACAACAAATGGCGAAGTCAATATTTTTGACAATTTTGGAAATTATATCAATAAGATGGAATTACAATGTTTGATCAATGCAACTGGTGCAGTCAGCCTAAGCGGATTGACATGGTATAACGGAATACTTGGTTATGTCGAACCAAACTGCCCATGTCTTGCTATCTGTTTTGACAATGGAAGATGTCAAATTATGAGAGATGAAGTTGACGATAATCCAATATTGATTGATACAAAAATGCATGCGGTTGATATACAATGGAATGATTGTGGTTCAACGTTAGCTATTGCAGGATCACAGACATCAGTACAGAATGATAAAACCATCAACGTAGTGCAATTTTTCAGTGCATTTGGAGAACCTTTATACACTTTGAAAGTACCGGGTAAAAGTATATGTGGGGTTGGATGGGAAGGGGGAAGTTTGAGAATATCTATAGGTGTGGATTCGTTTCTCTACTTTGCAAATATCCGTCCTGATTACAAATGGGGTTATATGTCCAATACTGTTGTCTATGCCCATCAAAAACCTGATCGACCTGACTATTGTCTCATATTTTGGGAGGCTTCTCGAAATGTCAAAAACGTTAAATATGTGAAAAATTTGAGTGGATTATGTGCAGGAGGCGACCATTGTTGCCTAGTGACACAATCAGAGGATGATGGTGGACAAAATGTGCTTGTTCTTTGTAACGCTATCGGCACACCTATGGATTCAAAATTCATAGATATCGAACCACATTTTGTGTGCATGACGGCGACTCATATCATTACTGCATCTTACAATGCCATACACGTTTGGCAGTACACATCTGTTAGTTCAGTTGTGTCACTTGATTACGCTCATGTCATGCCTCAGCTTGGCGTACACAAAGAGAAAAAGGAAAAGTTGTTTCACATTGATGATGAGAATCCAGAACGCAGTAAAGTTGATGAAATTAATCCAAGTGTTGTGAACGCAAACACGCAGGATCCAATTTGTAGTATTTGTGCTTCTGATAAAGTTGTTATTGTCGCTAGGGAGTCTGGTACCATCCATAGATATGCTTTTCCAAATTTGGAGCTTACCAACCGTTATGCAGTTGCATATGAACCAAAAAGAATGTCCTTGAATTGTAACTCTTCTCGTCTTGGTATTATAAACACCGGTGGAATGTTGACTATTTTTGATTTGAATGCCAGAGTTACAGATGAAAATGGACAAGAAATAATTGGTGAACAGTTACATTTTGAACGCAAGGATGTATGGGATATTAAATGGGCTGATGATAATCCTGAATTATTCGCAATGATGGAGAAAACTAGAATGTACATTTTCAGAAATCTGGATCCAGAAGAACCAATCCAATGCTCTGGTTATTTATGTAAATTCAGTGATTTGGAAGTGACTGCTGTTCTTTTGGATGAAATCTTGGCAGATCCTGACAATCCAACGAAAGACAATTTGATTGAACTTGAAATCAAATCTTTGAGAGACACTCGTGCGCTTGTGAAAACTGTGGGTATGAAAGATGCCGCACAATTTGTGGATGACAACCCCCATCCACGATTATGGAGATTATTGGCAGAAGCCGCTCTTGATCGACTTGAGTTATCCGTCGCTGAACATGCATTTGTAAGATGCAAAGACTATCAAGGTATTCGATTAGTAAAACGGTTAGCCCAACTACAAAACGAACAAATGAAATCTGCGGAAATTGCTGCTTATTTTCACCGATTTGAAGAAGCAGAGAAAATTTATCTTGATATGGATAGACGTGATCTTGCTATCGAAATGCGAATGAAACTTGGAGATTGGTTTCGTGTCGTGCAATTATTGCAATCTGGCAGTGGAGGCGCAGATGACAAAAAACTAATGCAAGCCTGGGACGCGATAGGAAATTATTTCACCGACAGACAAAAATGGGCACATGCTGTGACTTACTTCACACAAAGCAACATTCAAGAACAACTACTGGAATGCTACTACATGCTCGAAGACTATGATTCCATGGCCGCTCTAGCAGGGTCATTGCCAGAAAATCATAAATTACTCCCTCGAATTGCTAAGATCTTCAAAATGGTGGGAATGTGTGAGCAAGCGGTTCTTGCTTTCACAAAATGTGGTTTGATTAAACAAGCAGTTGACACGTGTGTGTATCTCAATCAATGGAACCAAGCAGTGGAATTAGCAAATACCCATAAAGTGAAAGAAATTGATGATCTTCTTGCAAAATATGCAGCTCATCTTCTGCAAAAAGACAACCTCTTGCAAGCAATTGAATTGTATAGAAAAGCGAATCACTACATTTCTGCAGCAAAACTTGTCATGGATATAGCAAAAAGAGAAGCAGAAGCAAATGCCAGTCCCTTGCAGTTGAAAAAGATTTATGTTCTTGCTGGTCTTTTAGTAGAAAGTTACCATGACAGCATGAAAACGAAGACAATTTCTGGATCTCGCATGATTGGTTTAACTGGAGAAGGAGGCGTGGCGGATGAAGACACAATTTTCAAGGCATGGAGGGGAGCGGAGGCTTACCATTTCTACTTATTAGCACAAAGACAGATGTATGAAGGATATGTTGATGCTGCAATGCGTACAGCTCAAGTTCTTAGTGATTATGAAGACACGTTAGATCCTGTGAAAATTTATAGTCTCCTAGCATTAGCTTCTGCTGTAAATCATGCTTTTTCAGTATGTTCATGGGCTTTAATGCGATTGGAATCTCTGGATACATTAACTGAAGATCAGAGGAAATCATACCAGGGCTTAGCGATGATTATTTTTTCAAGACATGCACCAAAGGATGAAAAGTCAAGGAATTTCCCTGAACCAGGAAAAGATAAAGTACCAATATGTGTGGTTACCGGTAGATACATCACAGAACCACAACACTGGTCATGTTCAAAATGCAAGCATTCCGCATACAATACCGAAATAATGAAAAAACAAAACTGTCCATTATGCCATGCCAAGATTTGAATAAGATTTATGGTATAAAGTGACAGCAGGGGTGATGATGCAAGATTTTTATAGGCAGTTCGATATATGACATTTGCACGCTGCACCCTTCAATTAAGTGCTGTTAATTTAACTCAATAGTGAAAAGCGTCTATATGAATAATTGTTTAACCTGAATTCATTGAATGTATATGCTTTGTTGCTTGTATCAAAAAAGAACAGTATAATTTTAAATATTAAATGTTGTGATATATAGATATTTCTGTATAGTTGGTATATTTTTGTAGCATTCTGTATCATAATGAATTCATGATCACAAGTTGATGATATCTTTTTGTGTATATACACTACATTGTTGGGTATACTCAAGATTTAGCAATTCTCTGTATTACGAATTAAAACTGGCGCTTCATAATATGTCTCGAGCTGTAGTGACATGTGCCTAACTCTATTACTATTGTATTTGTTGTTCGATGCTAGAGAATATTTATTGCAATCTGTGTATCTGTTTATTTCTGTCAATTTTATTTTGTACACTGTAGATGTTATATTTTTGTTATTAAATGCTATTTTAGCTGCTTTTTTGTGTATGGAATGGATAATAATGGAGTTTATAAACCAGCATTTAGTAACAATTCCAGAAGAGGTGCTGTCGTGCAAAGAAAATTATATCCTGTTTGAGACGAAGATAAAGAAACCAGTCATGGGCTAAGCACAATTAGTTATGTTCATAAATGTTACCTTGTAATTTCATAGCAAATTCTCTTACATTTGCGCACGAGTAAAATTAAAAATATATCTCAATGAAGTGGCAAGGAAATTAAGACAGGAATCACAGGATAGTTGGTGGTATATCCACATCATTCTATTGATAAAACTCTGCAATGTCACATGCCGATATTATTTTAAAATCCCCGTTTCATAATTCACACTAATGAAGGATAGGATTTTCACATTTATAGTTAACCAGTAGTCTGAAATGTACGCCCGAAAAATAGGGAAGGCACAAGACTTGAATGTAGCACTATGTCGATCGTAGTCGTTGTAGACTTTCTCGGTTATGAGCTCAGACAGAAATATTTTAAAATTAACGCAGAAAATAACGTTCAAATTAAGGCAGACTGCGACCATCTTGGTACGAATACTTCAGGAGCGCCTTTTTGTTAAAAACAATTATTTCATAACTATATGGTTTAGTTTTGCATACATAGTAACATTGAATCTCCTTACAATGTCAGAAATTCAATTTTAGTAGAACAAATGGTAGTTTATTTCACTAATACAAGCCAGGATCCATCGACAGAATCTATCCACTTTCTATTGCGCTCTTCAAACTACATTTGCGTTGCCGCGCGCTTTTCGTTTTCCTAGTTTAAGCTTAGGGACTTGGGAAATATTTTATTTTATTAATTGGATTGGAATATTTGACCTCGTTATTCACTTCGAACAAGGGCATGTAAAACCATCCACTGGTATCTAAAGATGTGTAACGTGTTTTTTTTTTTGGAAGAACCGCAGCCTTTCAGTACTGCATTGACTTTGGCAAAATTAATATATCCTTGTGGAAATAAAAGGTATGCATATGCGAAACCGAGATGTGCACCTGTTATGCCAACATAGTTGAGTCAAACGTTTTGAATACTATAGTACATCACACACATTTTCTTGCGTGCTTCGGTTGTACGTAGTAACGCGCACATTTTTGCGCACATGCATCAAATTCTACTTGATTATTGAGCTATAGGTTTTTGACGAGCTTTTGTGTGTGATTTCATTCCATAGAATTTGTATGCTGTTCTAAAGGATAAAATTTCAGCTTTTTCATTCATTCAAACCGCGTGTTGAAAGTAAGTTTTGTAATATTGCGTGTTAGTTTCCAACATTCTTGAATCGGTGATGCCAGTAAATCTTTAATACAAAAAGATCAGTAACATCTGCAATAAAAACAGCAGTACCCACTCAAATGACATCTGGGGGATGGATACTCTCAGTATCTGCTCCATCGCGTGCTTCTTATAGTCTTACCAGTTTACATGAGTGCCAATTGGTATCTAAGCTCAGCCAGAGACAAAAAGTTTCGGACTGCAGTTGGCGTGACGAAATGTTTTTAAATATATATTCTACAATAAGATTATTTGATTGCATACTACTGGAAGTTCCGCCTTATATGTCTTTTCCCATTGCACTATTCCTTTACTGATATTCGATAATATGACGTTCATCTGACATAGTTCTTAAAGTGTGTAGATGGGTATAATCTTTTCCACGCTGTTCAGATGGGAATGCGCGAATATATATAAGAATTGCTAATATTGGTTTGCAATGCGATGAAATCCCATTTTGGCATTTCTGCCTCTCGCAATTGCTGCGTATACTTATCGGGGAAGTTCTGTGGCGTGGTTATCAAATGAAAAAAAAACATGGGAGTATTTTTTGTACTTCTCTACTACTATCAAACCTTGATATTTTGTGAAAACTTTTTTCCATGCAACCCCTTTTTAAAACATCCCCAACAACCCCAACTAATTCTGTTATTAAACTTCCGAAACAAACACATAAAATCATCAACAGATGCATATCACCAAGTAAATATTGCTGAATTGATCTTTATTTTACCATGTTTCATGTAATTCTTTTTGGTAAACCTGTTATCTATGGTAAATACAGCACATTTGACAATGTTGTAGTGTGACTTTTTTGGCCTCACATTTTTGATATTTGTAGTTACAGCTCTTGGGCCTCTGTCAAACAAAGTTACATAGTCATAGTCATAGTCAAGTTTATTTTTTCCAACCAGTAAAATAATAAATGATGCAAAAAATAAGCAAAAATTCAAGAACATAATTTTACTGGGGAAGGGAAGCCGTGGGGAACCAAAGTAGGTTATCTAGCAGCGGCACCCAAGATTCAACTATTTAATTAACATATAATTTTAGTAGATCAATATAGCATAGAATAGTTTAGCCGTAAATATTTACTAATACGGTTTTAACGAGAAATCGTCATGACACTAGGGTGTATCTGAGAGCCACGCAATACATCAGATAGTAATTTGGGGTATTCCCCGTTTCGTAGCTTACAGGCAGTGAATAAAAGCGTGTTATGGGGAAATATTCGGGAATTTGTAGTGGCTCAGTTATCACAACCAAATTATGATAATCATCAGTTGTAGTGGACGGACAACGGGAGACAATGAAGAAAGAACAGGTATAAATGACATAAATCTACTGAAGCAGATGTTAACCAGCCGCACAGTACCGGTACCGTACCGGTAACTCGAATATGAAATACCGTACGGTACCGGTAACGTGATGAATAATATTCTATCGTCTGTAAAGACGCACTGGACTGCACAATATAACAAAAAAGAAACAATGTGACTAGGTGTTGAAGTGTCGTTTCAAGTGTGTAATAAAAAAAGTTACTTTCAACATGACAAATGCTGAGATTTGCAATATATCTGTATATATATAATACTAAGTTCATAGCTACTGAACTACAACAATGACTTGAGAACCCATATCTAATACAAGTTAAGGGGAGTGGGAATCAAATGAAATGAGTATATTTCGGTAAATCTGGCATGAGATTGGCATGTTGTAAAAAAAAAATAAATAAACACAAATAGTGTTAAAAATTTGTTAGACAATGAACCATCAGAAGTACATACTAATATTATGGACCGAGTTAATAGCTCATATTATGTTGAATTGATTTCAGGGTTTGGAAAGACCTGTCCTCATTCGAGATACTTGGACCAAAGAAATTTTTTCATCTTCATTTTAAACAGAGGATAAGACATGCTTCGCATTTCACCAGGTACAGCATTCCACATAATCGCACCTGTGTATTTGAGTGATTTTTGTGTCTTTGAGTAGGTTTGGCGTGGTACAAAGTAGGATGACAATGCAGATGATCTAGTATTGTGATCGTGAACACTACTCTGCTTTACAAAGTATTTAGAAAATGCCTGTGGAAGGCAACAATTATGGTATTGATGAAATAATTTAAATATTTCTAGTTTGTAGATATCATCAAGTTTGAGTACGCCAGTTTTATGGTACGTGGTATTCATGTTAACACGAGTGGACGGTCCATATAGAATTTTAATGGCTCTATTCTGTAAAACGTTTATAGCTCTTAAGGTCGCTTTAGTGGCAGATCCCCAGGCAGCAATTGCATATTGGATGTAAGTCTGGAAAAGTGAATAATATACCACTTTGAGTGTACTCCGGTCTGTATAGTGTTGAAGTTTGCTTAGTATACCTATTGAGCGTGAAAGTTTTTTATGTAACTCTTTGACATGCAGATCCCACCGTAAACGGTGATCAATGTTCAATCCAAGATATTTGTACGAGGGAACAGATTCAAGTTCAGTTTCATTCATTTTGATTATCAGAGGTGTTTTCTGATCGTTGCGACTAGGGCGTATGTGGACTACTTTAGATTTTTCTATATTGATAGTTAGCTTATTACAGAGCATCCAATCATAGACCTTTTTTAATTCTAGGTTGAAGCAATTTTGAAGATCAGTCGATGATTTGGAACTACCTAGGAGACCAGTATCATCCGCGAACAAATTCGAACATCGTGAGATGTCGTTTATAAATACGAGGAATAATAAAGGGCCAAGTGAAGAGCCTTGGATCACACCGGAGTCAATAGGAAGAACCTCCGAACGATTATTTTCGACTTCCACATATTGGAATCGGCCATGTAGGTAATCTTTTAAAAGAGAATTAGCACAACCTCGCACACCGTAATGATGAAGTTTGCGTAAGAGTATGTTATGACTTACGGTATCGAAAGCTTTTTTCAAATCTAAGAAAGCACAGCAGACATGTTCTCCCTTTTCATATTTGTCATAGATATATTCAATTAGATCAATAATTGCATGACTTGTCGAATGATTTGTCTGAAATCCGAATTGGAATTTATTAATTAGTTTGTTTTTTTCGAAAAATTCAGTTAATCTACAGTACAAAAGTTTTTCGAAGACAATTGCCAAACATGATAAGACAGATATAGGTCGGTAATTAGATGGGTTAGTTTTGTCGCCGGATTTGTACAATGGAATAACTCTGGCAAGTTTCAGTGCAGATGGAAATATACCTATTCTTATAGACGTATTAAAAAAATGTGCAATAACTGGCGAGATTATGTCAGCAATTTTCTTCAAGAAATGTGAAGAAATATCATAAGCACCGGCAGCTTTACCTATTTTTAAAGCTGAGATGGTATTGAATATCTCAGTCGCATTAGTTGACCGTAAATATAAAGAATCTTTTATAGGGGCACCGAGAAAGCTCATGAAATTTATATTCGTTTGTGGAACTTCATTTATTAAACTTTTCCCAATGTTTGAAAAAAATTTGTTAAGTTCGTTTGCGATTGTGTGGCTGTTTTTTGTTTTGAAACCATTTTCAAGTTTCAATTCAGATATTGATGAATCATTTGCTGGTTTTGTGTTTACAATCTCTTTGACAGTCTGCCATGTATGTTTAATATCACCTCTGTTATTGGCTAATTTTGATAAATAATGAATTTGCTTTGATTTTCTTAATAAGTGAACTAGAGTGTTATGATATTTTTTGTAAAGTGCACGTTCACTTGGAGAGCCATGTAAATAATATTTTTTGTGCATTTTACTCTTACGATTGATGGATTTATGGAGACCCTTTGTAATCCAGGGCTTTGATAGCAGTTTAGATTTTTTACGCGAGCATGCGACCATGGGGGCATGGGTATTGATTAGGTCCTTTAATGAAGATAAAAAAATACCAAAAACTTCATTGAAGTTCTCAGTTGACAGTTGTGTCAATACAAATCCATTTAATATATTACGAGCACTGTATCTAAATATTTCTGTGTCAAAATTGGACATTTTGCGTTTCATGTGAGTTTTGAATTTGTATTTAGGTGCACTAGTAAAAGAAAAAGATGACATAACAGGAAAGTGATCTGATATGTCATGCAATATAATATAAGATGATGAACAACGATCAATTGCATTTGTGTAAATGTGATCAATTAAAGTATGCGAAGTGGAAGTTACTCTTGTTGGACGCGTTATGGTGGGAATAGCCAGGTGAGACAGAAGCATGTCGGTGTACCGAGTTGTCAAATTATCGTGAGCTATTAGGTTGATATTCAAATCACCTAAAATTATGAATGGGTTTCTCGAATTTTCTAATTTGTAAAGTAGCGAGTCCATTGTTTCTGTGAAATTAGAAAGGTCAGGTCTGGGATGTTTATAAATAGCACCAATAATCAATTTTTTTTGGTTGATGGTGGGCGATTCATTGACCTGAATCCACAAATCTTCACAATGAGGAAAATTTAGATTATACTCATGGGATTCTATGAATGACACATCAGAGCGTATAAAGAGCCCAACTCCTCCAGCTTTAGTAGGAGAGGCAGAGTGAACAAAGTTGTAGCAGTCAATATGTATAGGGCTAATAGGGGATGTGCTTAATCTGGTTTCGCTAATCGCAATAATATGGGGGAGTTTCTGAAAGTTTGTCAGCATTTGTATCAGATCATCAATATGCTTTGACAGTGATCTTACATTTAGGTGAAGAAGAATAAAATCGGTCGACTTATACTGAGATGAAACTATCCCAATGTTAGCGAACTCTACATATTTACTTGTAATGGGGCCTACAGTTGGAGACAAACTGAAAGATTCCCAAGAGGGCAAGACTGGACAGGTAAGGCCTTTTGAATCAAGGCACATTTGGCAGAAGTAGCTAGAACTAGGGAATGGCAAAGTTATGCAAGTAAAGTGAAATTTAAGATTACACGATTTGCAACATATATATGAATCACTACGATATGAAGAATGACATACTGAACATAAGGTATCAGATGTCATGGATAATTATAGAAGTATAGAAAAAATGAAGGCATAATGAAAAATAGTCTAACCTATTTGATTTTTTGAAGATCTTCTTCCTCAAGAATATCTAAGGTGTTCGTCAATTTATTCTTTCGTATTCTGACTTTGCCGTTAGTGGTCCATAAATATGCGTAACCACACTTATTCTTTAGAGCTTTTGCTTTAAAAAATAAGTCCTTGTTGCGATTGGTCAAGTTTTCAGAAATGAAGACTTTTGAAGTGTCTTTGATGTTTATAGTGTTTGGTGCAGACTTCAAATTTTTGCGGCCGACGAGAATTTTATGGCGAATTCTCCGGTTAGTAAATCGGACAATGATGGGGGGATGGTTTTTCCGATTGCGAGTAGGGAACCGATGACTAAACGAGATGTCACTCGGTTGAATGTTTACTTTTATGAGCTTTGAAATCTCCAGCACCAGCTTGTCAGTATCTTCATTTGGTAATGGTGGTACTCCGTGGAACTCTAAGTTCTCAAGCCTGGAGCGTCTTTCCTGATCTTCTACATGCTCCATTAAATACCAAAGATCTTCTTCGAGATCCAGGACACGATCTTCTAAATATTTAATTTTTTTGTTTTGCAATTTTAGCTGCTCATCAACTGTTTTTTGGTGTATTAACAGATCATCAAACTTCTTGGATTGAAATGTTTGAGAATTTTTGATGATTGACAGTTCATCTTTAATCTCCTTCATGGATTGGGATTGATTATCCATAAACTCTTTTAATCCTGGACTCATTGGTAAGTATTCCGAAGAGCTATTCAGAGTATTGAAATTTTCTGAGATACAACGAGCAATGATGCTCGGAAGTTGTATTTCTATATTTTTCTGAATGGTATTTTGAATCTTAGATAAGCATAGAGGAGATACAGTTGGTGATGAAGGCTTCGTTCCTTTATGACTCGAGGAGGATGTAGTTGCGGAATCTGGTTGAGGCGGCAGCGGCATGATTGGTGACAGCCCAGGGTCTGATAGAATAGACTCGCTTGTTGGTTTGGGAGCAGCTGGTTCTTGAGATTTTTTCTTCGTTCTTGTCATTTTTAGATGTTGAGTATTTTATAGTAATTAAATTAATTAGATATAGCTTAATCAAATAGCAATTTTTTCATTCTTGTTCTCGTGATATCATTATCTTTCACTGCGTCGTCGTGATCATCCCGCTGCATAACAATTCTCGCTAACAAATAATTGACTGTTCTTCACCGGGTGTATGTATATCCACTTGAACCACTGGCGACTGCATTAGCAGGCTTGTATTGTTAATTGCAACAAAAACGGGTATTTTGAAATAGTACTCTTTATTTTACGCGTATATTTCGACAGTATTTTCATATACTGTATATGGGTCGCGACCCAGAGCTTGGCTCAACAAATACCTAAAAGTTACTGATTTTATTTTCTAGTAAATTTGGTGCTTGCGTAGTTTGCGCACCAAGATTGCGCACAACCTGAACATAGTATTGTAACAGGTTATGGTTCAGGTTGTGCGTCATTATGATGCACAGGTTTGACGAAAAACACCAATACAAATATCGAGCAGTAAAAAAAATTGCTCAAGGCTGCAAACTCCACACCCATGTAGAAATGATGGGCAATGACCCCAAGATGAATAATCACAAATAAAAAAAACTTTATGTCTGAAATCAAACTTGGGCCAAAAAGGTCCCCTTATCTGCCGGACTAACCCACTCTAAAGCAGGCATCATAATTACAATAGAAGAAATATAAATTTTTGAGTTTTAAGCCCGGTTAAGAGGCCCTAGAAATCAATTCCCCTGAAAGCATTGGAAAAGAAATAAAAATTACAAGGAACAAGAACATCACATGATTACGCAGAAAATAACGGCGATGATTGGCGATCTTCCTTGGGGAGAATTTGATAACCCTATCATTTAGTAACTAATGCATGTATGATGTGGAACAGGAAGAGAGAGGTTTATTGTTTTGTCAACTAGAAAACAAAAAAGTTAAGTCGTTTTAGACTTTAGGGAGCGTTACAACCACACGGTAACCGCGGGGGGTGGCGCGACCCTTCTTCAACTGCTATGGGCCAATGTTTTTCGTTTTATATTTATTTTATTGATATTCATGTGTATCATCTCTCATATTGATTCTTGCATGAAGGAAATGAAACATCTTATATGTCCGTCCTTTCATAAAGTAAGGTGAGCTTCGGAGTATGGAGATATACCGTACCTTTCACTAATCACGCGATGGCGTGAATGATTTTCTTATTTTGTTTTGGTAGATTTTGGCGGGAATTTTCAATTACAAAAACTGGACAGGTTATTTTGTGGTAACCCAAGTTAGAAAAGTTAATTTAGAAAACACTGTTGGACTACAAAACTCACATTTATTAAAATTTATTTTCCGGTTAATTTGTAATTATTAGATACCGGTATTAAAACTTGTCACGAAAATTTGGTTAAACATTCAAATTCCTCTCGCAAAAATGGGTCATCATACAGTTACAGAGTTAACTTACAGACTCCAGGACATTTTTATTTTCAGTAATTTTATAGTTTCGTGTTGGGTCTAGCTTCCAGCCGTTGTGCAATAGGCTAGTACCGGTAGTCAGAGCACTAGGTTCAGAGAAAAAAATACAACACAGCTATATGTGTCTGCATGTGTGTTAAATCCAATGATCCACTAGGCATAGCATGTGACTTTCAGGAGAAACACATAACACCCAATCTGCCTATGCCAATAGCCTAATGCAGTAGGCTACCGCAGTGTAATGTAACTGAAGGCAGGGATTGAGACAATCATTATACCAGTACTAAAAATATTACAAATATTAAATACCGGTACACTACGGTACAGTCAGACAGTATAAATTTCATCCCACTGTTTGAGTACCGTACCGGTACTGAAATTGTGCATCTTTGTTTTAATAACAAACTAATTCTGATATTACACACTTCACAAGTCTGCATGTGGAACAGCATTGTAGAATTTGGAAGGCGTTCAATATACAGATATAATGATCAATAGTTATCCCTTCTTTCTAAGACTCCTGGTAGTACTGTAGTAATAGGTAGTAGTAGCATACTTTGTATAGCACACCATCCTGCCATCAAAATTCCAAAATGCGACCAATATCTCGTGGAGCGTTAATTGTTGTTGAAGGTATCGACAGAACTGGAAAATCAACACAATGCGATCTTCTGGTAAAATCGCTGCAAAAACGAGGCCAATCAGCGAAGCTAATGAAATTTCCAGACCGGTCGACAACCATTGGTAAAATGATTGATTCCTATTTGAAAAAAGGATGCGATCTTGATGACCATGCTATACATTTATTATTCTCCGCTAATCGCTGGGAAGCAAATGAGACTATGAAAAAGGATCTTCTCAATGGTACAACGCTTGTCATTGATCGTTATGCTTTTTCTGGAGTTGCTTACAGCTCAGCGAAAAAAGGAATGGATATAGAATGGTGTAAAAAATCTGACGTTGGATTACCAGAACCAGACGTCGTCATGTTTCTAAATCTTAAAGCAGAGGAAGCCCAACGTCGTTCTGGATTTGGAGAAGAACGTTATGAAAAAAAAGATTTTCAAAAACAGGTTGTGGATAATTTTATGGCGCTTAGTAATGCAGGAGGTCGCTGGGTGCACGTTGACGCTGGCGGCACAATTGAGGATGTTAGTAACACAATGACTGAAATTGCCCAAAAAACAATTGATCAGGCTAAAAATTCAGAAATCAAGAAATTATGGGTTTAATAAGTAATATTTTAGTGTTTTTTTTTTCATAAAATTGTGTTTGATGGCAATTATTGAAGCTGCGTAACAATATGTCGCATTTATCGACAACCATTGTGAAGTGCTAATTTGCTATAGTGCCATGTCCAATGTTGTCATTGAGATTCACATTTCACACAGGTGTTAAAAAAAATTCAAATGCATGGTATATATGGCTGATTAGGGTTGCTGTTTCAAACTACTGAACTATTTCTTTTTTTATTATTTCATCTGGCCGAAGTCAGATGTCTTCAGACAAGCAATTTATAACAAGTTTTTACAACCTCCTCACATAATGTTTGATTGTACCCAAAGTGCCATGTTTGGGCTTACTAGTTCATGTTATATGAATAGACTTAATATCTTTCATTCCTTACTACAAGATTTAAATAATGTTAAATAAATGGTAAAATTATATCACAAAAATTGTCAAAAAAACTAAACATAAAATTCCAATTTGTAGTTTTCACTGAATGGCCACGAAGACAACAGTGACAACTTCTCTTAGTAAGCACTTACAAATGATCATTATTTTTATGATTTTCTTCAATTTTTCTCCTCTGCAACTACCGAGAACATTTTTTTTAAATTAGCTACATCCATGCCACCCTGACGGTGATAACGGATAGAAATGCTCTTTCGGATAAGTTTATTTCTATTAAAGAATTTATTCATTAGATCATTGTTAGAATTGTAACAATCATGATCCATTCAATTAATACATTGTAATCTCAGAATTCAGATTTTCTTCCCTGGATTTAAATAACATACGGAGTAAAGGGGAGACTCCAAACTTCGAGTCTTTTAAAAGAGTCTCGTCCTCTTATTGACAAAAATTGACTCAAAGTTGAAGGATTTCTATTCGTACTTTAGTTCTAAATTTGAAGAAAACCTGCTGTAATTTTGCTAACAAAATATTTATTAGCAATTGAAAGCCTTCTGTTGAGAATGCATAGTTACCTCGAACCTTTTTTAATTATTGTTGAAACTTATCGACGAACAAATTGTCACAGAATAGGTCAGATTGGTCAAAATAGGGACAAATAACTGTTTATGTATCATTTTTGTGTAATTCTTGTATGTGTCTGCTTGTTTATACAATTTAGAATCTTAATTCTAACATATTTCTTACATAAAATCCTTGTTACTATGGATAAACTATCGAATTCTGAAGTTGACAGGGGTGGAGATTGTATCAAAATATTTGTTCGTGTTCGTCCAGCGGTTACAGAAACAAATGTTTGCTTGACTGTCAAATCTGAACAAGAAATAATTCTCCAGAATCACTCAAATCCGAAATTGTATCAATTCGATCATGTCGCCGATCAGGTGACAACTCAGGTGATTAAATGATTGTCAACTTTTTTAGCAATAAATTTATAAATATTTTCGACAGTGTACAGAAAATAGATTGCAATTAAATTTTGTATAGGCCTACTTATTATAAATGATTAAATTTTTTTTTGCTGTAAATTTTAGGAAACTGTCTTCAGTAGTGTTGGAAGACAAATTGTTGAAAGTTGCGTAGAAGGCTACAATGGAACCATATTTGCTTAGTGAGTATTGGCATGATGTTCTAGACCAGTGGGGCATAGACGATTTTATGAATGGAACTGAAGCTAATTGAAAATACCGTAAAGAATTTTTTTTTAGATTTGATTTCACCCACCTTATTTTTGATAATTACATTTTAAAACTTTTACTTTATTTCATTATTTATGTTCCACCCAGGTATTTTCAACATTTTTTTGAATAAAATATACTTTCCCCTCACTATCTGTTATTTGTAGCTTGTTGTCAGCTAGTTATTTTTGGGGTGTGACGCGAGACTTGACAAATTCTAAAAAGGGCCTTGGCTTAAAAAGGTTGAGAGCCACTTTTCCAGACCTATACAAACTGTCAATATTTTTTCATACAAAGCCTTAAAATTAATTTCAAGGGTATTCTAAATAAATTAATTTCAAAAAATCGGTGTATTAGTATTTTAGGGAATGTTTTTTTATGTGAGGAAATTTGCCATCGACTCAATGGAAACTTTGCTGGATTTGTGTTGTTGTTGACACAATTATCATTCTTGGGTAAAAACTGTTTTCTGATTGCAACTAATTGTCCAATTGATTTGAAGATAGAGAAAGTCGCTAAAAGGCCATTTTGTGTATTTTTTTTCAAATTTCCCGAGCTCAATGGAACCAGATATTCCACGAAAAGTTTTGACGTTTTATTTCAATGGAATTGGACTGTTTTTTATTCACAACACTTAATCTTCCAATCTTTAGCGCTCGCAGGCATTGCTGTAACAGTACCGATACAAAATCTTCTTGTCTATATATTTTAGCGTTTCTCTCTATTTTTACTTCTAGTGGGCAAACTGGATCAGGAAAAACCTACACAATGTTGGGTCCAGGTGAAGATGCCATGGCAAGCTTTGAACACAGATTGAGAGGAATTATACCAAGAAGTCTGCAATATATGTTTGAACTTATTCAAAAAAAACAAGAAATGGTACGATTATATTCGAATAGTTTATAGCAGGTAAATCCTGCTTCATAACATTGCTCCCAGCCTCCCACCCCTTGACTTCATAAAACGTCTTCCTATACTTAACATTTTTGATGCTTATTTTGAGTGTGTTTTCAGGAGTCATTTGCAGTAACAAACTGGTTTACTTGTTTTATAACCACCATTTTTATTCAGTACATTTCATCTGCCATTGTTAGTTCAATATCAATCAAACAACAAACATCAATCAATAGTGATCCAGTCATGGCTACAGGAGCTTAACAGGCATTGTTACCTTTTCCGACATCGTATTTATTTGAGGCCGGGTTTTCAATATTGAAACTACAAAAACGAAATATCAAACTAGGCTGTATCAGCTGCTGCTTTCAACCATATCTTCAAATTAGGAACAGTTGATAGCCAGTAAACAAATACAGATATCGCATTAAATAGCATCACCTTCGTTTTTGAGTATATTGTCAACATAAATTTCCTAACACGTATATTTTATCACATAAGCTTTGTTTGTTTGTATAAAGGTGGTCCGCCAAAATTTTTGCCTATTTGCCTTGTGGTTGAAGAATTATAATTGACTATCTTCCCAGGTTAAATCCCTGTCTATTGTCTGACACCTCACCCTCGGTGTAATTAAATGGTTATGCAATGCTGAACCACAAGTATTCCGTCCTATACTAGCTCCTTGCCTGGTAGTAGCCTCTTATGTAGAGCCTTGTTCAGAGCAAAATACATACAAATACGTTGTATGAAATGAAATTTTTTTTTTAACAGCATGGAAAACAATTTGAATGCACATGCAGAGCATCGTTTCTCGAGATATACAATGAACAAGTGTTTGATTTACTCGATCCTTCAAGTCCGAAACTTCAGGTTCGAGAATCGAAGAATCGAGGAGTTTTTGTAGAAGGAATTATTGAAAAATATGTCACAAGTGGCTCAGAAGCTTTTAATGTAAGTATGGTTGGTTACCTTGTCAGAAAGTGAAAATTAGGGTTAGGATTCAGGTAGAGAAGTAGAGAATAAACTCACACTGGGTATGAATGTTTAAAAAAAATTGGGGACAAACAAAAGTGGTCACAAAGTAGAATTATTTATAGTTCGGAATTAAAAGCATATGATATGTTGATATTATCCATGGGCATGACAAGAATCAGGGTTGTGGAATCGGAGAAAATTTACAATCGGTATTCTTGAAAATTTGACTTCAACTCATGCTCTGGGTTTTTGACTGCAGCTCCGAGCTTGAGAAAATCAATTTTTGATAACAAAAACCTTGCTTGGTGTACGCAAGACTTCTTTAATATGCTGTAAATTCAGGTGACCGTACATTTGAACCCATGCGTATATCCACGGGTTCAATCTATATGCGGGTGCTAAAACCCATGGGTTAGGGTTAGTATGGGTTTAACTATCCGTGTAACAAAAAAAATTCCAATAGGTGCAATAGCATACAGGTGCAATTGTCATGGGTTCAAATGTACGTGGGTTCAAATGTAATGAAACCTAAATTTAGGATACTTGATAAAATGAGTGTTTTTTTTATTTTTTGTAAAAAATTTTGATACACTTTCAGAATTTCGAAACTTTTTCAGATATTATCAGAAGGTTGGTGTAACAGAAGAGTTGCTTCAACATCAATGAATAGAGAGAGTTCCAGAAGTCATGCTGTGTTTACAGTAACTGTCGAAACTAAAGAACATACCGGTTTGTATTTTGTGTTAATCTTACCCCAGAACAAGTGGCGATAACTAATTTAATGCTTTAATAAAGTGTCCCAAAATTGGTATGTACCACTTGTCTACTTGTTCCACACTTTGGATCGTTTATTTGCGGTGGCTCCTACCAGGGACAGTGGTTTTTGGAGGTTCATGAATCAGAAATGGACCCATAAAAGAGTTTTGAAAATATATATTATAAATAATACTTCAAATCTTGCAAAAAGTTCACAAACTACTCTGATAAATGAAGACTAATAAATTGTGAATCTATGAGACTATGACCCACATTCTTGTTATCCGTGAGAAATATATAATGTGTGTTTCACCCATTCAGTGAAAAGGGTTGCAACTTGCACTGTTCGGGATGGATGAAAATTCAGAAATACCTCGGTAGTCGAACGTCTCGATACTTTAACAATTCGATGGTTGACCAAAAAATTCCAGTCAAAAATGATGCGGCACTCGATCGATGCTCAAACACACGAGCATGCTGCCAAGTGAGATGACGCTACTCATCCTCGCATCTCGACTGCCTCTCGACAAGAGAGCGATGCTCGATTATGTGCATACAAGCTTAATTTTCCATTTTAACTTTAATTTTTCAGCTAGCATTACCAAAGTGAGACAATCTGTATTAAATCTTGTTGATTTGGCTGGTTCTGAGAGACAAAAAGATACACTAGCAAGCGGAACGCAGCTTAAAGAAGCCGGAAAAATTAACGGGTCTCTTTCAGTTCTCGGACAAGTTATCATGGAATTAGATGATGTTGCTCACAATAAAACAAGACATATTTCTTACAGGAACTCAAAGTTGACATTTTTATTGAGGGTGAGATTTAGGCAGAAGTTTGTTTTTTGTTCACTTGGTTTGTTTGTTATTGTTATTTGTGAGTTTGGATTAATCAAGATTATAAAACAAAATTATGGTATACATCAAAATCATGCTTAAGTAGGTAGAGTTTGGAATTAAATCGCGGGCACTTGGTGGTGTGATGCGATTGGGCCTGGTATAACTATAAGGTGATACCTCTGTAATCGAACGACTGATACTCGAACAATTCAGTAGTCGACCAAAAAATTCTAGTTGAAAATGCTGCAGTATATGAACGAAAATTCGGTGCTAAAACACAAGAGTGGGATGACGTCACCCATGGAACCCATATTATCTTTATCTATATTATTATACGTTCAAATAATTATTGTTGTTTAGGTACGTTTACGTTTTGTTGATAAATTGGGTATTTTGGAATGCTTAGGAACAAATTAAAATAATTTCCATTTTTTTATGGCAAAAAAAGTTTCGTTACTCAAACAAATTTGTAGTGGAGCCCCTATCCTGAACGAATTATTTTTGCCAACCGAGGTTATCACTGTAATTATGTTAGCATCGCAAATTAAGATTCCAAATCTTCAGTAATTGTAAAAAATACTATCATTGAGCCTAAGCTTGTGGAGAGAAGTTGAGTATTTCCATGAGAATAATGTAAATCAAACTTTTCTAAGTGGACGAAGCATTTTTATTAGTCTATCAAATGAGGATTGCATATGCCAAAGTTTTTTTCAATCAAATTTGATTTCCTCTTGATTTTAGAGACAAAACTAACATCAACACGGATTCGGGGACCAGAGTCGGAGTCAAAATTTCCGATTTGGGGTCAACGGTCAATAATCTGTTGCCAATTTCTTTCCAGAGCCGTGATATAAAGCTTAAAAATTTCTTCTAGGATTCTCTGGGTGGAAATGCGAAAACTTTTATAATCGTTAATGTTCATCCGAACGCACAATTCTTCGGTGAAACTACTTCTACTCTACAATTCGCGGCACGAGCTAAACAAATCAAAAATAGAGCAAGAGTGAATGAAAATACTCAGGGAGATTATACACAATTACAGGTAAATGCAATTTAATTTTTTTTTTAAGAAATTGCCTAATATTCAATGGCAGACTGTTTTGATTCTTCGCTTGCCATTGTGACAAAACAATACTTTCTTTAGCTTTCATTTGATTACTATGCTGGATTAAGTTTCAAACTGTAACTGTTACTCTGACTTTTGCACAGTTTAATGAGTTTTCATCGGTGCATAAAAATGTATTACAAATTTACAATAATACTAATTAACTAAAACTATTGTTTTAACCAGGGGTGTGCAACCTTTAATACAGAAGGGCCAAATACAAATAACTGGGTGAAGCCCCGTGCCGCACCATTATTCAAATATGCTTTCCAGGGTTGTCCAAAACGAATCGAATATTCGAATGTATTCGAATATCAGAGTATTCGAATACCTTTTCGGCTGATTTTCGAATAATTCCGAATAGTAGCCACTTTTCGCCGTAAACGTGGTGTTTCGTTTTACGGGAATCTTCAAACGACTTTTTACGCTGTCTCACGTATTGTAATGACGATGAAATACAATCGGCACTTTGTTTGTTTATATTCTGTGCGACCGTACGTCGCATAGTGTTGCGACACATTTGAGGAAGTATGTTAATTTTATTTCTATGTGGCCTGCTTATTATTATATCAATCATGATATTTAATCGCAGGTCGGTTATCGTTACTTTAAAAAGAAACAAGGCCACCGAGATAAAGTGATTTGCGACCCTTTCGTTTTGCCGATTCAGCAGAACACGACAGGGACAGGAAAACACATCTGCGAAATAACCCGTGCACGTACAGTGTAGTACTTATCACATTCCAAAATTATTTCAACATTCGGGTTAATAGGTTGTCCAAAATGATTGCCGCTTTACAACTTATATTTACCGCTCAATTGTTAAAAATAGTTAATTCTGTGAGTATGATTCTACCAAACTAACATGATCTGGTTCTAAACATATAAAATTATTAGCGCGTATCAGCATAACTGAACAACAGGGACACAATTTTTCTACCCGTATTATTGGATGGAGGCCTATATGAAAACCCCCTTTTTGAGTGCTAAAAATAGACATTGTCCTATTTGCCATGTGGACTTATTAGCCGGGAAATACGGTATTTATAGCCGGCAAATAATTTCTGGCAAATAATTTTGATAACGATAGTTAAAAGTATCGATCCTTTACCAGGATGATTTTTTGTTGCGCAAAATAATCCAATCCATGACTAGTACCAGCATTTAAAATGTCATGCCGTATTAATTTAATTTTGTTCAACGTAACTCATGGTTGTATCGACAATCTGTAGACATAAATTGTGTGGCAAACTCGCGATTAATATTAATTTTTGATTCCTATTTTCGTATCTACAAAATACAACGGCGATCTGTGGACTTAGAATGTGTGGTAAACTACCCGATTATGAAAAGTTTTTGATTCCTATTTTCATATTTATAAAATAATAAAAGTATTATTACTCAAACAATCAAACATACAACGGCGATCTGCGGACTTAAAATGTGTGGTAAAGTTCCCGAATATAATTAATTTTTGATTCGTATTTTTGTACTCACGAAAAAATTGTCACGAGTGGAAAAATAACTCATACTTTATCCCGCTTTTTGGCAAATAATTTGGAAAAGCAAATAATTTGGACAATGGTTGGTATTTAAAAGTATGGGCGTTTTACTAGGATGATTTTGTGTTGCGCAAATATTCAAATCCATCATCGATACCACTATTGCCATATTAATTTAATTATGTTAACATGACTCATGGTATTATACTGCAATAATCTGCAAATATGAAATGCCTGGTAATATAGCTAGGTTGTAACTTGTAGATAGCAGTGCTTATTGTAGGGAAATTCCTACATATATTTAGATAAGCTTCAATTAGTGGATTTTATTTTCGAAGTATTCGAAATTTCATATTCGAAAAAAATAATTTCGAATGTATTCGAAATAGTGAACTATTCGATATTGGCCATCCCTGATGCTTTCTAGTAGTTGCAGGCACAAAAGTGAGGGGAAAGAGATTGGAACTTCTCACACATACCAGATTAAACTCAATCAAAAATTCGTTATGTTGCCGCACACCATTCAAAATTGCAACTTCTCTGCGGGCCCCTCGGATCATACATTGCACACACCTGATTTAAATTTTACAGAATACAAAGTAATACTTTTTGTTTTCCCTCCCCAAAAATTCGCCTTGGGGAGATATTTCTACTCAGTTGGGAAACGCTGGCATTTTCATTATCGGTCCTGTCATCGAGTTTTTCTATATATTATATTCTTAACTTCTGGCCAGCAAAAAGTATCTCCTAATCAAATAAAATGGCCTTTGTAATTGTAAGCCATATTTCATTATTCTACTAGACTGAGATAGAAAGATTGAAAGCCATAATATGTCGATATGAAAGTAGCGGAAAAAACAGAACATTAGCAAGTATAAGTGATCAAGTGGAATCTGAACTTTCTAAAGGTTTGTCTGATATTTTAAACGTAGTAATTTTTCAATTGGTGGCTCATATTAATGATCGAAAAGTTTTCTTGTATTACTTCTCAATATTTTTTAATGTCATTTTTATAGGCTTTTCAATTCGAACGAAGCCTTGTAGTACGACCAGCTACTGCTAGCTAGGTATGAAGTTGGGTGACTGTACATTTGAACCCATGCGTATATCCACGGGTTCAATCTATATGCGGGTGCTAAAACCCATGGGTTAGGGTTAGTATGGGTTTAACTATCCGTGAAACAAAAAAAATTCCATAGGTGCAATAGCATACAGGTGCAATTGTCATGGGTTCAAATGTACGTGGGTTCAAATGTAATGGAACCATGAAGTTGCTATAGTTTTAAAGGAACAGCATTTATTACGACCTGGGTCAGGTGGTGACCATGGGATTTGAACCCAAGATTTTTGACCTGCGATGCCAAAACTGCCGATTTAGAACCGCTATGTGGCCCTTTCGCAGGACAAAGGCACTGTTAGAGAAAACATATTCTGTTTTTTTTTTATGTGTAATTACCTGGCCCAAATATAATGACACCTTTTCTTTTTCAGATTATTATTACGACGATATAAGACAAATGTTTTTTAACGCGATGCAAATGAATCACAGACTAAGAGACGAACTAGAAGCGACCAAAAATCATATCACAAAAATGAATAACTTTAATATGTCCCGTAATTTTATTATTAAATTACGAGATTCAAAAATTTCTGAGTTGAGGAAAGGAAAAACTCCAGAAAGGGATGAAGAGATTGAAGCATTGAAAAAAGAACTGCAAGCTGTGAAAGACCAGGCTAGTAGACTCTATAGCTCTTTGGACTTACTCTCTCAAATATCAATCTCCTTTATTTATGACTGAGTGAGTGTGACCTTGTTTTGAGTAATTTTTCGAATTTGAATCGATTGGATTATGATTTTCAGGATTTTTACAGTGATAATAGTAATCAAAATTTTTAACAAAAATTCTTAAAATAATTGGGTATGCCAAATAAATCTCATCATCAAAATATGATTTTTTAAGTTGGGAGCTTCAGTCCAATCCAAATTTTCACCAACTCAAAGTCAGTATCAAGAGTCAAAATTCTTGAGTCGAGTCTATTGTAAAATATTTCCAGACTATACCATCTTGTATAGAACAACAGTCAAAATTCATAAGTCTCAATATTAGAGATATTCAAGATGCATTTTATAAACATATCATATTCATTATTAACAGCTTTTGCATAACCCTAAGGTTGCTTTACAAAAGACGAAAATAACGGAGTTACAACACGAAGTCGAAAAACTTCGACAGACTACATTAAGAGTCAAGGTACATACCGAACATTTTGAGTATTATTTATAGGATTGCTCAGCGAGAAAAGGGCACTCACTCAAGACGGAGTGAAACCCCCCTCACTCTAAATTTGAGGCAATCTGTTTCATATTTATGGAGAAGGTTATGATATGGTATATCTGTTTTAAATATAGTGTTTTATTCTGTTATAAATCTTTTGTATTTGTGATTCTGAAAATTTTTTCCTAATGTTAACTGTTTCAATAAACACTTGTTAAAGTCGGGCTGGTGCCAAAACAGATAACGCCTAACACCAGTTAGCTCCCTAGCATCTGTGTTCAAAACAGGGGCGCTCAATATCTCGACTTCAACTCATGGTTATTCCTATATGGTCCTTCTTTGCATGTTCAAAAATAAATATTGTCATCTCGTAAATGTATTTCTTTATAATACGAATGAAGATATTAACATTTTATAATATTAACTATATCATCACCAAGTAAATTCTGTTTGGTCGAGATGCCGTAAAACTGTAAAATTTCTATTCAAGCTATTAAAAGAACAAGAAAAAGAACTGGATCAATTGTACGAGCAATTGCTCAGTGAAATGGAACCAGATTCGTTCATGCATAGCAGAAGAGAATCTGTTTTCGATTCCAATGGTTCGACACCAAATTTTGTCAACGATGCCGCTGACAAAGCAAAAATAGCAGAATTGGAACAAAAATTGAAATCCAGAAATGATGAATTTGCACAATTAGAGTGAGTATATAATTAGAGTAAGTATATTATTAGAGAAAAGGTATAATTTCAATTATTTAACCAGATTTGCAAGTTTTAATTTTACAAACCTGTTATTATGCATGACAGTTACATGATTGAATTCTGGGCGCGGTGGTTAGCGGATTGTGCCACGTACTCGCCGTCGCACCTCTTATCACCCTGCACGGGTATGCAAGTTTGAATCCTGTGTGGCATAGTTATATCAAAATGGTTACTATTACTAGACTCCTTGTCACTGATGGGTGGTTCATGTATCAATTCCACTCGTGCATTTGAAACAAATAATATATAAATAAAATATATTCCCATACCCAACATGGATTGGCAACTGGACGAGAGGCTGTAGTACGCCATATGATAAAGACGTTATCTCATCATTCCGATTACCTTTTCGACGAATGAATATGAAATGACTTTTTTCAAAAGCTGTGAAAGTGTTTAATTAATCAAGTAATATACTCGAAGAAGTGAATTATTACGTTTGGCCCATCCCTGCAAGTAACATACACCCTCGTTTAGAGAAAAGAACGCGAACCTTGAGGCTGAACTTAAAAGCACACAAAATCAAGTGAAAGACTTGGAAGGAGTTTTACACGCTAATCTAGCTGACGACACAATGCAGCGAAGAAGATTAAGTAAAATGCATGAAAATGCCATCATTCGCATCACAACACCCAAAAGAAAAAACACAGAAGGTGCTAGTTCGTCACGTTCCAAAATAGCACGAGGTAGTTCGATATCATCTGGATTAGATAGTAAGTAATCGTTTATAGTAGAACAGTCTTGCAAGTTGGACTCAAGTTACCAGTTGTCAGAAAGTCCTCCAAATCAGTGTTTCTCACATTGAGTGTCCATGACCCCTGGGGGCCTTGATGTCTACACAGGAGTCCGCAAAGATATGATAAAAGTCTGATTGTTCTTTAATGATCGATTTTAATTTGAAAGCCATTGCAAATTTTCGGTCAAGCGTTGCGGACGAATATCCATTATAGTCAAAAAATGCAATAAATTTTATTTTGCTCTTGAAACTACCTACATGTGTGAGGCAGCATTTTCAGCTCTCATCAATATGAAGACAAAATACAGGTCTAGACTTGCCGTAAGGCCTGACTTAAGAGTTTGTTTGTAACAAATTGCTCCGAGAATTGATAAATTATGCAGTAGGAAGCGACCGCATCATCACATCAATGTCGTTTGTGTCGTATTGTAAATGAAAACATTATCCTTCTTCATTGGTTAGGCATAGAAATTGATACGGCATAGGATGGGGATCAGTCATAACCAAGATTCATAAATAGGGGTCCATGACCTGAAATGTTTAAGAAACCCTGCTCGAAATGGAACAACCTGACCTGTGATCAACTAACCCCCAATGAGACCTAACTCAGCGATTGACTCGACTTTGGATTTGATGAGACTTAATAGGCTCGTTACCCGGGTTTAGGGACCCGACACTGTAGTAAATAATGATCGTTTATAGAAATCCAATGTCGGGAGACTCTAGTTAGATTCATTTATCAAAGAGCCGATTTTGAAAATGCCTGAAATCACAATTTGAAAACCATTGACTTTATTGATAAACTCATATCTTTTCCTTTTCAATAAATCGAATTACTTGTTGCTCTTTTATTTCAGTGTTCACTGTTTAGTGTTCATAAAATTCTGTTCCATTTTCACAGGTTCCGAAGCACTTTTTGATGATGATTTCTTTTTGAATGTATCGATGTTAACGGATCAAAAAATGCCTGAAGTTATGGAAAAAATGGTCCATGAAGAATTACAGGAAGAACTTCAACAAGTATGTAAAGTTGTACAATTTTAATCTTTTTTTACTTTGTTTTATGTATCATTGCTAGGGATTTGGATCAAGAGTTGGCTTGTTTTATTGATATTGGAATCACAGTTGTATTTTCAAACTACCCAGAGATGAATGAGTCGAACCTAAATTGTTAAGAGTAGAAAGTTAAGACTTATAAATTATAATGGAAAATGGAGATCAAACATATTCGACAGAAACTAGAAGCATTAAGTTCACTACCCGTAAATATTCTTAATATTCAATTGAAGATGGCTTGCACATATCAAATTTTGGTTTTCTTGTAGTTTTAAGATGGTGATATTGTCGAAATTTTCTTCGAATAAAAAATGGCTTTCAGAAGTTAATCATGAAATTTGCATTGCATAAAGACAACAGTAATGGGTCTTAACATGTACTGCATAGTTTAAATTGGATCTGTGGACTTATAAAAAATTATAGTTGTCTCAAAACTCATGGCTGAAAATTAAATTTATTGAATATTAAAAATTGAAAAAGTAAAAATTTAAAACAAGGTCGACTCTGGGTTGTTAAACAAATTCAACTCGCACTCCAGATTAAAAAACTATTCGACTCTGACCCAGTTCTGAACTCTGAAAAACTCAATCAAACTTTGAGATTTTTTGTCTTCGTTCTTTCTCTGGTCGTCTGTTGATAATGCCATGTCAGAATTTGATGCTCTTTGTGTTTCTGGCAGAAATTTTTACTATGATCAACATTACTACAAAAATCTAAAATTAACTGAAGTTTTGGCGCCATGTTTAAACTGACGACACCAAATTCACTGCTATATATATTCCAAGTAAATGACTGTTCTAGCTTCTAAAATTGTTTCGTTGAGTCCTGTTCTGGGGCGCCATTCGCCAAACTTCTTTATCGTTTAACGTGTTAGTAAAGCACCCACTTTCTCGTAAAAGGCAAAAATTGTATTCTCGAAGTATCGTTAATATTCGAGAGAATTTTTTGCGCGCCAAAACAGGCGTCTCGTAAAGAGTCTTCTCTCATTTTACCGAGAATCTGTATTCACCAACGTACTTTAACGCACCGGAGTGCTCGCAAACTAACGAGGGAAAAATTTTACTCGTTAACAGTAGTTCGGCCTGTTCTTAGCATGAATTGAAGTGAAAATGTATGTGTGTTTGTTTGTAACAGTATCTACAAAATAAATAAACGATATAACTAAGACGGGATACATGTTCAATACCTTACTGGCCTAAGACAAGTAGGTGCGACATGCATCCCAACAAATGCTGTGGTGTTTGCATACAAAAATTGGTATCAAAAATCTCTAAATGCCTAACTTAGGTGTGAGTGACTGCAGTTTAGTGGCTGTGGACCAACCTATATATGCCAACTAACAACGTACCAACATCAAATATGGGATTACATTATTTATCTATTTTGTTGTCTGTTACAGAAGTAGTTTAACAATATGTATCTCAGAATTTATTCCATTCATCCATAGATTACTGCTTTATTCCCCAAACTTTAAATCACAGGCTGCAAAAAGTAAAACAGAGATCATTGCAAAATAGGCTTATCTGCGCCGGGCGGCTGGCGACAGTGAATGATACGATTGAGTGATCATACAGTGGTTTTTGTTCATCGACGACCGTGCGTTAGATTTCGAGAGAACTTGCGTGACCGTGCGTAAAGTTTTTACGAGATGTTTCGTGAATCGCACTTAACGAGATTTCGTAACTGCGTTTTTGAGAGACAAGGTTACGTGCTCGTAAACGCGGCTTTTTTCGAAGTTTGGCGAATGGGATCCCAGGTCAGTCTTCTAAAATTGTTAGTTCACTTCAAAATCAGAGCTATGATCATTTTTGTCAATACTGTCCCATGTAACGATGTAAAATAAAAAAAAATTTTTTTCACAATTTTTATCATAGGTCAAACAAGAAATGGAAAAATTTAAAGAAGAAAGCTTATCTAAGGATTGTGATTTGGCTTCAGTCAGGAAATCTGAAAATACATTGAAAGAAAAGTTAGCTTTAATTACGCAGGTTTGTATACTAATACCCATACTTTTGTAACTTCATCCTGATTGGTCTAGATCTGTGTAGTGGGAATCCGAAATGTTTTCACTGGATTTGTAGTCTGTCGTATTTTCCAATTTTCCATAGCATAAACCAGGGGTAGGTAAGGTTTGAGCACCAGCGGCGAAAATTTCTCCCATTCGAACTGGCGATCATGTAAGCGTTACATAAATGATTTGTTACTGTGGCAAAGAATATTGTATACTCTTAAAACAGCAACGCTTTTTTGTCATACAAGAAGCACTGCAGTTGATCCAGTCTTTTGACAATTCCTTCCTTTTTGAAATGTCTGGTCCTGTTATCGATTTTTATTTCCTTGATGCTCTCGTGTAAAAATTAGACTCCAATAATTTAGCTATCAATCTTCATGAATTAGAGTCGAAAAAGGGATCCAGCATCAGATTCACTATATTACATGGCAAGAATTTGTGAGCTAGGAACAAAATAATAACATTAAGATAGTGTTGTGGGGACGTTAGCAAAACATTGTCATAACTAAATTGAAACTTTAGGCTGCGCGTGGCCGCACACGACAAGCGCACGAGGCAAAAGAAAGACGTGTGCAAGAGTTAGAGAGAAAGGGTAAAATTTTGTAGTCTGGAGTCATCGTCCCTCTGTATTCTAAGGATGGCTATAGTTTCCTAGTATTGGTTACTAAGTATTTTTATCTGTTATCCATCCTGATCAAACTTTATGGGTTGTGGTTTGAAATTTGGATTTCGTTTTTAGAATCTTTCAGATGCAAAAAATCAACTATATTGGCTGGAAGCTGATGCTGCGACACATAAAGCGAATCTTCAAGGTAAAAAGCATTTCATATATTTGCCCATTCTACAATGATCTTTTTAAAGGCTGTATGATAAGCCAAGGCCAAGTAAATTTTGTAACGAAGATATAGAATTTCAAGTAAAAACATATTTCGGTGAAATGAACAAAATTATGTAGCACCAAATTGTTTATTTAATCATAAGTTTTAATCTTGTTATGAATTTAAGTTCTGATAATTAAATAATCTAATTAATTGAATAATCCAGAAAATCTCTATTATTCCACTGTTTTGATATGCTTAATCTCATCAGTTGCTTTCATGACCCTTGACCCCATAATTGGTATTCTTACACTTCATCATTTTATTTCCTATTTTAAATGTATTTTCGATAGTGAGCGTCGAAATTGGTTGTTTCAAAAACATGGTTTTGTTACAAAATTTACAAGTAGCTTCCATTCTAAAGTATCGATAGCTAAATTTGAAAAGCTTAGTTTATCCCGTTTTTTTGGCCGTTTCCAATTGAGTAAAAAGATAACATATGAAAAGCCAATGATTTCAGTCATGCCTCAAATTTTAGTTGTAATGTCATTGTTGACTTATTCAGAATTAGTCACGATCACGAATATGAACAGGAGAGTTTGGGAAATATCTATTTTCCGCATGCAGATATACTTTTTTCTCTATTTTCTTAGGTAAAATGGAAGAACTTGAAGAGGCAAGGATAATGTTGGAAAGTCAAGGGGAAGTGATAAAAGAACATAAAGACAAAGAAAAGTCACTAACAACGGTATTATTTAATATCAGTGCTGTTCAACCTTTTTCCCTCTTGTGTGGTATGCTATTGGCTTACATGGAACCCTAATTAGAAAAAGTAAAAACACATATCAATGTATGAAGATTGGTATTGGTCATTCCAATGATAATAATGCGGAGTTACCACAACAGTTAGAATGCATTAATATATTGAATCTTCATTTCTTGCATTTATCTCACAAACCGCTTAAATCGTGGCTCTAGAGTGGTAAATACAATCATGCGCATATCTACACTACTCGAGCGACTTATGTTTTAGTTTTTCACTGTTGTTAAAAGTAGAAACTGTTTCACGCTAATAAAACTGGCCAATTGCACAGTTTACACACACAGGTTCGGGAGTGTAAGCAGACGGAAGGCTGTGATTTGCCATATGATTAGGTCATCTTGCCGACTTTTCTCTGGATAAATATGTAAATTCTATATTATCAATGAGCAAGATTCTTCCACAGAATCCTACAGAATCCCATAGAGTGTTTTGTGGAACATCAGGACTATTCTATTGTTGGAAGGCTTGAGTAATTGATGTACTTAAGTTGTACAGAGTCACCTTATATCAAAGATTCGAAGGCATTCGTCATCAACTAACCACCATTCAGATTTAACTTTGATGGACTCGACAAATGACTCTGTCCTGTGGTCTTTTACCCAACACGGCTATAGTGTAAACATCTTGAGCCACTGTCATTAACAGCATAACTTATTTCTTCATACAGTATCGTTCTGTGCATACTAAAGTATAAGAAGTTAGTATTTTTAAAAGGCTATAACCCTTTCCGTTCTGAGCACGAGGTGCGAGCAAGAGTCTCACTCACATAACACACTCACTCACATGTTTCAGAGAATCACTAATTTGGAAGCAGAGTTGTTCCAGAAGCAAATCCACCATTCTAAAATAGAAAAAGAAAACGAAGATTATTTAAAAGAAGCGCAGACTTTAGAAGTTGACGTTTTGAATCAAAAACTTGAACTCGAATTCTTTGGAGGAAAATTAAAAGAAAAAACTCAATTGTTAGAATCAGAACAAATTAAAAATAAAGACTTGATTGCAGATTTGAAGGTTTGCTTCGATAATTTGAATTGAGATAGTTTATATTTATTTCAGAGATAAAAAGTTGATTGCTTTGTTTCTGGTGGGAGTCGTAAACTGGAGCAAACTGGCCTCGGCAATGGCTAGTAAAATTGCTTTTTTCTCCGCGAAGTGTACAAATAGATCGTTTTTCTGCATTGCTGTTGTGAGAAACCGCTTTTCTTCACAACTGAGGGATCAATCAATTTCAAATTTTCATCGCTTGAAAATGATCAAAGCTGCTAGAAGTCTATTACATTTCAAATATTCTCCGAGCCCTATAGGACCCCTGTATATTCACCCAAAATTTGCTTTTTTATTTCGATTCACAGGAACATTTTTTATGACATATAGGAACTCTTTATTCTGTCATTCTCGTCTGTCTACCTTTTCAGTAAATTTGGTGCTCCACAAAGGCCCAGTAGGGATAGTGACCTCTGCGTCCATAGCTGCATATTGCTCTTCAAGTTTTATTTCAAGTATTCTACGGGGCTCTTTGGTAACTGCTTTTTTAACGCAAAAGGCGCTTAATTCGATCAGATCACCACCCTGTTTTAAACTCAATATGGAACTTACTATGTCATTTTTCTACGTCAGGAGAAAGAAGCACTTTTGATACAAGAAAAAGAAAACTGTTTTACGCTGCAACAACAATTAGAAGGTGAAAGTAAAACAACTTCTGAACAATTATCATTATTGCGCAATTCTAAATTTGAATTAGAAAAAAGACTTGCAATCAGGGAAGAAGAAATTACTACACTGAATACAGGGAAAGAACATTTAAATATAGAATTAGAAAATGTGAAAAAGGAGAGATTGGAAGATCAGGTTGGTTTAAGTAAAACTTAACTTGTAGGGTTTATTTTAAATATGCTCATACTACATTGGAAATGTGTTTTTATGAGCAAAAAAAAACTTTGCGCTGAAACAGAATTTTAAAATATTGTAGCGAATGAAACTAATGGTGCGAAATACTGAAAATAACATGTAAGTATTTGACGTAGTTCAACACGGTCTGTTTTCCTAACAATAATACAATTATCCCAATCCTTAGAAAAAAAATTTTCAGAATAATTTTGTACTGTTAGTCTGTTCATTTTCATACCTAACTTTGTCTCGCATTATTGTGTGTTAATGGCAATCCAATAAATAGTCATCTACGGACACCCTCATTCAAATGGTACTTTTGACTTAATTTTTTATTATCTATGCCAGGGTGGTCCAAGGTTGTCGGTCCTGCGGGCCACACTATTATTTTTGGATTGTTCGCGGGCCACAATAGTGCCAAGAATAAATAAACAGTGCAATACAAAACAAACATTTTTATTGTCCAAACATATTGATCATTATTTGTCATTTATCAAGCTAAAACAGGCAAAAACCACCAGAAAATTCACTAAAACCTGCACAGATCGTACCATATCTACATTTAGTTCAAGATTTCTAACTCTGCCATAAGGAGAAAATGCTGCTTTAGATTGTCACCGACACAACTTGCAGACATATCAAGCAGGCATTGTGGTATTTTCCATCCCATATCCAGTCAAAAATCTGTTCGAATTGGTCAGTTTTCTTCAAACTCATGTTTACAAAATAACTTACAAATATCTGCTGATTGATTGATTACCGAATTTTAGTAAATTTGAGATACAGGCGATTAATAATATTTAGTTATCAGGCATAGTCAACCTAGGCTAATAAATTCCTCATTCGATTTTTAGTTTTCTATGAAGCCTATTTTGTTAGCATATATTCCTGACCAAAAAAATAGAAATCCAGCAGTTAACAATATAGACTGCCAAGCACATTATTCAACTTTGCTACAACTAGCCATAACACTAATCATTTCGGTGACATTAGTGATGTAACAATATGTCCAAAGATTTTTCTGGTTATTTTTAGGGCGAAACAACACCAAATGAGATTTTTTGTTTATCCACCCGCAAATGCGACGCGGGCCACAGATTATGAAGTGGGGGGTCACATGTGGCCCGCGGGCCTGGGTTTGGGCCACCCTGATCTATGCAATGCCATTTCTATCACTAACTTACTGTTTACCAGATTGCTATTAAAACACTGCATAAACAATACATGGAATTGCAAGGTTCTTATTTTGAAATGCAAAATCAAAATATTGGATATGAAGCTGAAATAGAGGAATTTAGGGAAGAGATGAAAAGATCTGAGTCTTATTTGGAAAAAGAAAGAAAATTGAGGGAAACGTTTGAAAGGAAATTGAATGATGAAAGAGAAATTTATAAAACAAAAGAATCGAAATATGAATTTCAGGTAGGATTTTTAGACATCAATTTTATAATTTCATGATTGAAATAGATAGTCATTGGACACCAAGTGCACATATAGATCGTTTCGGTATTAATATGTTGTTGTGTTTTTCTTCTTGTTGTCATGAAAAAATCGCTTTTCTCTTCAACACTAAACCAATTATTTTAAAATTTTCAGTGGTTAAAGATTGTATTTTTCTCTAGAAGGCTATTACTTTTATTTATTTCAAAAATTTCTGCGATTAGGTCTTCACGTTAACGATCTTGAGGTTCCACGAAGTCGTATATACTGTGGTGTCGTGCCAGATGGCTACGGTGACCGACTGCTTACTTGTACTACTTCATGTTCATATATTTGAGTATCGCTCTCTTCTATTCTTATATCGGCAATCAAGTTGGCAGTCAGCAACTGAGAAATCAAATTTTGAATGCTAAAAAATTGGTAATGGAAACCTTCTTTAATAACCTGTTAGGAACGATTGGTCAACTATTTTCAGTTGATGTAGAAATCTCTACTCGACGAAATTTAAAATTTCGATTCTGGGGGTTTTGAAAATACGAATCCGGTTCTGGTGTAATCATGCCATACTGCAACTCCCTTATTGTGCTCTTAATCTGCTATGTCTTATAACCTGTGTTGCAATACATCTATGTAGTTTTGTAATAAATTTACAGATGGAGTCGTTACAAGAAGACGTGATTTGCTGGAACGAACAATATTCTGCTTTAGATAAAAAACTAAAAATTGCAGAAGAAAAGGTGGAAGATACTAAGAAAACCATTGAAAATTTACAAAAGGAAATTAACAAAAGAGAAGAAATAATAATTGAAAAAGGAAAGGAGACGGAGGTTGGCCTTGTCTTACTCCCATGACGGTTCACATTGATTTTACCTCAGTAGTATTAAATTACATTGTCCTTAGCCTATCATTGTACGGTAATCACATTGTCAGTGACTTCATCATCTTGATTTTTTCAGCTTATGTGAAACGAACGAAACATAGCTCAAACTCAAGTGAATAAGATAAAATCAAATTGTTAGCCTCGACTCTAACTCAATAATAATTTTTATAATATTCTTGTCTCATTTCTTTTAATTTTTAGAGAATCTTTTGGTTTTGTGAGTTTGTAGCAATTCTTTCCAATTGTACTTACCTTGAAAAATATATTTGAATGGTTTGTCTTTTCTCAAATCTCAAATATATGGACATAAAGGCTACCATCGATAAGGCCTGAGAGGATGAAAGAACCGAGTTCACTCTGAAAAGATTGGCGTAGAAATGTAACAGTATGGTTAACCATAATGGAATAAAAAGTTTACCCTTTATTTAAAATAAAATGCAAAATTTTGGTGAAATACTGTGTCCTTGGGTGGTGGTGGTAATATAGGCTAAACTAGCCAAATTTGCAACGAAAGGTTGAGTTGACTTCTTTCATCGTCAACTTTGTCTTTTGTGTGTTTTAGGTGAAATTAAAAAAAATTGAGAGCTTGAAAGAAGAATTGGTTGAGAAACACAAGATTGAACTTAGAGAAACAAGAGAAATGTTGTAAATATAATTTCCTATATTTTGTATCAATTCAAACAATGTTATTGAAAATCTGATGTTTCGTCACAGTCCTAAAATTGTTAATTGCAACAAATTGTTAATTATGGGATAAAATACCAAAGAGGGTTCATCATTTTAGGATAAATAACAAGATATTTAACAAAAAAACTAGTGCATTCATCATGATCATTTCAGCATGAACAGTTATAAAGGCTTCATTCAGTTTCTAAATTTCAAAACACTGATTAGATAATCTTTTGTAGGGCTATGGAGTATGAACAAATGGTTTCATCACTGAAAAACAACAATAAAGATCAATCAAACCAACTTCAAGATATGCAAAATCAACTCGAAGAAGCCCAGCAATTCAGAAAACATGCGGAAGAGGTAATTTCTGGATATTTAATTTCTGGATATTTCAAAAAAAAACGGTAGACTCTGTGAGAGCAATATTGAAATATATGAACAAGAAGGTTGGATATCAGTTGAAATAAATGAAATGGAAAAAGGCCAAATGATGCTTCTTCCATATTCATGTACTAAAAATTTGATATTGATTGGTCCTTAGTCATAAAGAAAAGTGATTTTTCACAAATATTTAGCAGAATGGATCGGTCCGTATTCATCAAATATATTTAAATTGTATCTATTTCATAAATGAAAATGCTTTTTTGATCACCATATTTTTTTGAGCCAATAACATCACAAAGTTAAATCTTTGTCTATGATGTATAAATGACATTTTAATATGGGTGATTTGTACAGAGATGGGTTTTTCGTACAACTCCAAAATATGCAGGCATTCTTCTAGCCATTATAATATCAATATTGTTTGTATGATTTATTCAGGAACTTGAAAAGATTCGGGCTAAAAAAGAAGAATTGATGACTGAAAATGCTGCTTTAGCTGGACATTCAAATCATCGTCAAAAAATTCAGTATTTGATAAAATTCAAAGAGAAATACAATACACTTGAAATGGTGAGCTTTTTCAAATGGAGTATTTCAGTATTCAGTATTATCTATATATTCATTACCTTTCAGCTGTTTTTCTAATTGTATTGAAGTCCAGCATCAGTTACTATATACTAATTCCTGCATATTTTCATTGTTCCCTGGGTTAGATGTTGATTGGGGTAATGGTATCTGACCCCATGTCAGTTGCTATTGGCATTTAGTGGTGACCGCATCTTCACCCCTAGAAATCAATCCTGAGTGAATGCGCATTTGCTTTGAGAGACGGGCAGTTGTGCGACCTGCAGTTTAACCAATTTGTTGCATAGAGAGGCAATGATAGTACAATAGGTATAGAACAACACCTTTGCAACTTATCTGTAGTTAATTATTGTATTCTCTGTTACAGGCACATACCAAAACAGCTATGGAACTGCAGAGAGCGTTGTTGGCTTTGAAGAAATATGAACCTGATTTTATTCCTTCTCGCAATGCTCTTACCGTTAATACCAGCAACATGAGCAATCATCGCTCTCCTTTAAAGCCAAAAGATGTGAATGATCAAAATGAATGTCAGTTTATAACAGAGGGAATAGAAAATGCATGACCAGAGCGATGTGGATTAGTTGGAAGAGATAGATATTTTGTCATCCGCAACATAGAATGATAAAATGCCATATCTGTTTTATTGTTGTTGACATATCTGTTATGTTGATTATTTTACATTAGAAATTGCTTTTTAAATGAGCGCTATTCATGAGAGACTATCGGACTGCAATATAGTTTGCAGATTTGATTCTTGAGGGCTACTCGCTGCCTGTACTGCCAATCAAGTGCAATTTGACTCTTCAGTCTTTGCTGGAGCTTTGACTAGATCTTATCATTAATAGCTATTCGTTTGAATGACGTATTTGTTTTTGGTACCTCATTAACATATAAACTCAAAATATGTAATAATTTCTCAACCTCCTTTGATTTCAATGTAATGACTTCACAGATATAATGATGCGACCATAGAATATAACAGCATTAATATGCGCTGCAAGTTTGTGATCCTCGTAATATATATTTTCAAATATTGAGTGATTTTAAAATTCTATATACCGGTAATAGTTTGGCTGCATCAAGTCTAACAAAAACTTGGACAACTTGATAGAGTTTTATTATAAACCTTTTGGTATTCCCAGCAAGGTAAATGGTTCAATTTGGAATAGGCTCACTAATACAAGGTATCAAAGCAATGCGATCAAAATGATGTAAGGGTGCTTCTGCCAGATCTATCTTATAATAATCTTGCGTAATTTTCTGCCTTGATTGAATTGTCAGGCAAAGCTCTGCATTGTGAGGCATTGACCACTTTCAACACAGTAGTCAATGCTTGCACCCCCTTGCATGAATTCTCTAATTTTTTTCTTATGTTTCTTTCATTAAGTTATATATTCACATCTAAACTATTTTTACCAATATACTTGGAATTTTGAAAAAGCAAGTGAGGTATGATAAAAACCCATTTGCGTCTCTGAGAATTTTCTCTCTCGGAAAATGAACTTGCTGAACGGAGCCGTATTTTGGTATTAAAATATTTGCATTTTATTTGTAATCTATTGGCGTTTATACCTGTCCTAAACCAAAAAAATGTTCTATCGAATGTAATATTCGTTTTTTCATGAGAATTTACGTAGATTGCAAACAACTTCGTCTGAATTTGGCAGTCGTTATAACAATTCTTTCGATTAACTGAATTTTGGTAAAGATTTCACACAGCATCAGGCATAATTGATGAATTTAATTACTTTGACTTGAAGCATACTATGTAAACACTCAAGGATGTGCATTATGTTCGAATCTGGAATAGCATAAAACCAAGTGGGCAAGTTAAATCCATTCCAATAGAAAATGCAAGTCTGGTGTGAGTGCTCACCAAGGGGCTGATAGATCAATTAATCATCATTTTATTCGTCAACACAAAATAAACGTATCATAAGAAAAATACGTTTCAAACACAATGGGAATCTAACTTAAGTTGTGTGACAGGAGTCGCGAGGGACCTCGTAAGGTCTTCAGGCAGCGATCGCCAATATTCTCCAGTACATCGTCAGTTTCAAACTCGCCGATGTCACATGGTTGTGATTTGGACATTATGGCGAGAATGACAAACATGCACCAGGGGAAAGATTGCGTTTATATTCTAGTAACGTATATAAAAGATCTTCCTTGTCATTAAGAGGCGAAAAAACATGAATATCACAAAACATTTCTGCCGCGAGAATTGTCGCGCTTGGTACACCATGACGTGCTGCCTACACGTTACAGGTCTTGTGAACGGAATGATTGTTATGCCCAAGATATTTTGATATCGTAAAAAATTCGCTAAGTTCAGTCGTAAGCTTAGACGGCCGTTTTTTAATCGGTAAATTGGCGTAAAGAGTAAACTACCGGTACAGTACCATCGGTCAGTAAAGACTATTTCGCCCTTTTGCTAGACTGGCCTTTCTTTATGTACAACGGTCAGATCATGTAGGCCGGGCCTCTTTGACAATAACAGTCTGACAAAACCCCTTTGCTTTTCCGTGCGGACATCCATTAGCGGTACCATGTCTCATTTTGATTCCCAGACATTACGGTACAACAGTGTTGACTTGAATTGTACAAATCTTGTGTAAATCAAATATTGTACTCATCTACCGACCAGTATGAATTTCATGACCTTTTCCCGTGAGAAATCGGGCGTACAGTCCCGGCGTGAAAAATTAGAAACCTCGGAGTGCAATTAGTGACCGCGACACGCCAAACGTCCGCATGCAGAGATACCGAGACCGCGTGAAAACCTAGATTATAGGATAGGATTTACATATTTATCCCGGGGGAGAGGAAAGTCGATAAGACGGCTTATCCATATGGCGAACCACGGCCTCTCGTCCGGTTACCAGCCACGTTCAACTCTTGCAGTCCACAGAAATTTTTGAAATAAGTAATAAGGAAAAATGGCAAAAAAATCAATCTTCAACCACTTTCAAAGCAATTGGTCCAGTATTTGAAGTAGGCCGCGAGCCGAGGCCCTGAAAAACGCCTAGAAAGTGAGTTTCGTAGCGCACATCAGGTAACTAACTGAAAATGATTTTAAAATGTTCCTTAAAAATTTAGTAACAAATATTGCCTTGTTCCCACTTCCAAAAGTTGCACGTTTTACAGAAAAGACGCTTTTCAGGTAGTTACCTTATGTGCGCTGCGAAACTGAAAGATAAATGGCCTCGGCTCGCGGCCTAAAGAGAAAAGCGATTTCAACATGACGAAGGAGAAAAAGAACAACAACATAATATTGAAACGATCGTTGTGTACACTGACGTGTCCAAAAACAAGTATAAAATTATTTGGACGGGACAGTGCAACCAACGACTAACAGTGCAACTGATTGCTTTGACGCAAACCACGGTGACGATGCGTATTTTTGTTTAGGTCAAAGGTCAAATAATTGACGCGAACAAAACGCAAACAGGCTAAAAAGCCTTGCGTTTCAAGACTGGTCTATTTACAGATTTAGTTGATAATCGTCATGTTTTTGGCGTTTTGGTGAAAAGCCGAAAGGTGCGTGTTATCTATAACCAGTCAGTTTCTAATGTTAATACTTGTTAGCACTGTTTATTGACAGCGTTTTCATTCCACCACCCTTCATACTGTCAGTGTCAGACAGTAATGTCAGTAAAAAGTCAGACTGGTGACAATCACGAGTTTTCCCCGTGAAAGTGGATTTTCGCTCGCGTGTATTTTCGGGGAGCGCTAGCGTGCAATTGCCATGAAATCCAATCTGGCCTGTCGGTAGTTCTCAAGTTGTATTAAACGACACGCCAAACGTCCGCATGCAGAGATACCAAGACCGCGTGAAAACCTAGATTCTTAGCGTGCAACTGGGAGAATGGCTCTATTTGAGAAAAGCCTGAATAAACAAATATAAAATTATTTGAACGGAACAGTGCAACTGCGTGACTTGACGCAAACCACGGTGACGATGCGTATTTTATTTAGGTCAAAGGTAAAATAATTGACACAAACAAAAAGAAAGAAACAGTCTCGTACAGGTATAAATTCTTTCGTTTTAAGACTGGTCTATCTAGTTAGGATAGGATAGGATTTACATATTTATCCCATTGATAATCGTCATGTTTTCGTGAAAAGCGGAAAGGTGCGTGTTGTCTACAACCAGTCACTTTGTAATGTTAAATCCTGTTAGCACTGTTTGTTGACAGCTGTTACATTCCGCCACCCTTCATCTGTTCATACTGTCAAATATAACTGTAATGGTGACTGGCGAACAATCACGAGTTTTCTCCCTGAAAGTGGATTTTTGCTCGCGTGTATTTTCAGGGAGCGCTAGCATGCTCGGCGTGCAATTGCCATGGGATCCAATCTGACCTGTCGGTAGGTACGTTATCAAGTTGTATTGAATATTTTTTTTTTAAATTCATGTCTTTCATGCGGGTGATGTAACAGGTTTAATAAATCATTTCTTTTTATAATAATCTGTTCTTCCAGCATTGTCAACAAAAATATTTACAATGTTTAACCCACTGAACTTATTATCTGCCGAATCACTTCTCTTAATTTGCACACTTTTCTTGCTTGTGAGATATCTTCTTCAGCGCAAATGGAGCATTCTCTCATCTTGGAATATTCCGCATGACCCTCCATCTGTTAGAAATTTTGGTCACGCAAAGATCATAGTATCAGAAAAAGTTTTTGAATACGAGTTAGAATGCAAGAAAAAATTTGGTCCCATATGGGGGTATTATGTCATGACCGCTCCGAGAATTGTCATCCATGATCCAGAGATTCTGAAAGTAATATATATCAAAGAATTTTCAAAATTTCCAAATCGAGTGAATAAATTCAGACTCGTTCATGGAGAAGAATTAGCAAATGGTTTGTTGTTTACGCTTGATGATCAATGGAAGCGCATCAGAACGACTATGACGCCTACTTTTTCCACAGCAAAATTGAGGCAAATGGTTGGAATAGTGAAACGGTGTGCTGACGATACTATTGATGTATTTCGTCGCAAAATAAATTCAACAGATGGAATTTTTGTGGCAAGAAGTGTTTTTGGGGGACTTTCGATGGACGTTGTTTGTGCTGCTGCATTTAGTACTGACGTAAATTCGCAAGACGAAACCAAGATACAACCTCGTATAACAGCGAATGCAAATAAGTTTTTCAGGACTGGATTTTTTCAAGCTTCATTTCTGATTGCTGCAATATTTCCGTTTTTAGAGGGTTTGGTATCAAAACATGCAAGCCAGAGAAGTCATATTGTGTATTTTCGTGACTTGTGTCGTGGTTTAATGGAACAAAGACGTAAAGAAAAAGGAGATAGAGTCGATTTAATGCAATTATTGTCAGATGCGGAAGTTCCAGAATCAGAATTGAAAGATGTTGCTAAAAAGGGAATGTCAGAATTGGAGATAATCGGAAATTCTATCACAATGCTTTTTGCTGGATATGAAACAACAAGTACAGCTATGTCATTTTTGGCATACAACTTAGCCCAGTATCCCGAAATCCAGAAGCAACTTCAGACAGAAATTGATAAAATGTTCGAAGAATGTGCTGAGTTGGATTATGATAGTGTAAATCAGCTGAAATTTCTTGATATGTGCTTGAATGAGAGTTTACGTTTGTATTGCCCCATTCCACGGAACTCAAGAATCGCCAAGGAAGAAGTCACCATTGGTGGGCTCACCATTCCGAAAGGATCACTTGTAGCCATTCCGATTTATGCCTTGTGTCATGATCCCGACTACTGGGAAGATCCGATGGAATTCAAGCCAGAAAGAATGAGAAATATGGATGAAATTGACAACATCATTTTTCAACCGTTTGGCTGTGGACCAAGAAATTGCATTGGAATGAGGTTTGCAATGATGGAAATCAAAATCACATTCTGCAAACTCCTGCATCAATTTAGCTTTGAACCAACAGCTGAAACACCGAAGCCACCACTGAAGCTTAAATATGATTTGACCACCAGATCCAAGGTTAATTTTAATCTGAAAGTCGTGCCCAGAGATAGAAACCCCTAACTTTCCTCCAGGAATACCAGTATATGTATCTCCTATTTTATCCACTTATATGCATGTTAGAATGTAATAGAATCATATAAAATGAGTTATATAGGTCTTCTCTAAAAATCTAGTCAAACTACTATTCTATCAGGAACTCGACTTGCTACATAGTGTAATTTACAACATGTTGACGAGGCAAATTGAAGGAGTTGCAAAATGCAGCAGAATTGAACAATAAGAATAATTTATAATCTAGATCAAATGGAATTTGCTGAATTTCAGCTTGGATGAAACTTAACTCAAATATTTTTATACATGTTCTATATCTTTCGACTCTGGACAAGGCTCTGCACAATAAGCCACTGATATTGCTATTTAATTTGTAAAGATTGAAATGTAACGTAACATGTATTGTTCCTTGATATTGTACAGAGGTGTGCAACATTTTTTGTTGGTGGGCCATATAACCAACCTCAGACATTCAGCTGGGCCACACAAAAATTTTTGTTTTTCATGTACACAACGATTTAAAATATTCTCACAAGGCAAAATTTAATTTATAGAAAAGGAGAAAAAAACATGATATATTTTTACCCGCGTGAGCGCTTTTTAAACATAAACTGTCGGATTAGGATTTCATACTTAATAGAGAAAAATTTGAGTGTCGACAAGAGCCACACTAAATGGCTTTGATAGGCCAGGTTATGGCCTGCAGGCTGCCTGTTGCACACCCGTAATATTGTATATATTTGTATTGTTCTTGTGCCTTGTATGTGTCAAACACACCACTGTTTTCCATAATATATTAATTGATATTTTTGGGTAAAAAAACACATGGTTATATATGCAAGATGTCTTAAAGACAGGATTCAATTGAAAAAAAAGTTAGATGCAATAAAATAATCGAATCCTATTATTCTCAGATTCAAATTCTGCCTTTAATAACAAAATGTACTCAATTCTTTTTTGTGACTTTTGTAACATTTGATGAAAAGTTCTATAATGTGTTCTTAGGTTAGGTATTTAACTTCAAGAAGGGGTTTATTATGGAACCAATGGTTTGGCAAAATGTAACCAATATTAGAATTGATTTATATTATATTTCTTTTTCTCTCATGCTGACTTTCACATGATATTAATATGATATATCATATATGTATTTTTTTAAATTTCATCTTATATTGTTTATATGATGCATGCTTGGAACTTGCTCAAATATTTCACTCAAGATTATCTTTACACTAAAAAAATTTGTTCAGTTTTCAGCAACAAAACTATTGCAACTTTAAATGTAATACACATTATTTCACTTTCAGGAAATTTATTCTATACACGACCACACATAAATGTATTCTATTGTTAATAGGTTGATCTTGCTTTGATACACATAACTATTGAAAATATATTATTTCTTCAGTGAGGTGCTAGTCACCCAATCTGTTTTTACAGTAACAAATACTTGAAAATAAGTTTTACATCTTGTCAAGTATTAAATTATATGTTTCGAATTATATTATTTGTTTTGCTTCTCTTTATAACATAGAGTATAATATTGCTGTATATACATTTGTTGATTTTTTGTTTAATCATAACACATTGTTTAACTTCATTTTTAACCCGAAGTTTTCAATTTTCTTCTTCACGTTTAGTCATTTGCTTGAATAGCAAAGACCGATGCTGCACAGCTGTTTGTTAAATGTATGCTGTGTGATAAATTTAGCACTTACATGGTGTTGTATACTCAAGGGTGTTATTTCCACTTCAGAAAACTGTTCTTCACAGTAAAATTTTTTGTCACATTTTCTGATTTTTTATATGAAAGAGATAGGTTTTGAGTTGCTGTCATTTGTTTTATTATTAAGTGTTGTTTACAAAATTATTGGAAATCCCACATTAGGAAGCTATTAACTGTATTCACATTTTGCACTTTCATTATTTTAAGTGCAGTTTATTATTTGCTAATAATAATCATCAAGGATGTAAAATAAATATCTAAAGTGTAATGTAGCTCTTACTACTATAGTATTTAGCACTGTATAGCCAAACTAAAATATTATGTTTATCCATATTGTCAGCATGATATTTTTTTCAGGTGGCTCAAAAGAGGCCTAATTGCAACATTTCTTCACACATATTCAAAAAAAATATATAATCATATTATGTTCCTTCCCTCTATATATTTGTGTTTTTTTTGTAGATTTTAAACTTGAATAATGATGATGTACTTAACTTGACTGACCTATTAGAAGTAATCCAAAAGTGAGATTATTCTGTTTTTCTATCGTGAATATTACATTCATTGGAAATATGCATCTTCTAACTCAAATATTCATGATTATATGATACTGAACCATGGATGCATATATAAGCAAGTAACCGTAAGTACCGGTAATATTTTATTCCTGTTCTATTAGATTTCACACTTTCGGGGAAGATATATTTGCATAACAGCAAGTATTTTATATATTTTATTTACCGTATTTGAATATAAATTTTATTGGTAATAATCTATGGATTTCCACTTGGATTGTACTTACACTACTTTTACTGTTATGTATCGATATAAAAAGGACTGTAAGTTATGTAAAAATTGCCAATCAATCCAATTTGGCAAGGTTTCTTTTTTTATTTTGCCATAAAATTACAGTTTTGTCAGGTGTGCTTATATATTTATCTAACCCTGACATGGGCAAATTACAGCCAGAGGGCCAATTCAATCTGGCCCGCCTGATACTTCCGCCACCAAATTAAAACCAAATTTTGATTATTTAGCGTAAGAAATAGCTCAAAAAATTTGTTAAGATTGCGATCAGATTTAGGTTTGGCACAAGGTTTATTTTTATCCACTTTTGCTTTCGTAACACTGTAAATATTGTTCATAAAATTTACCTAACTTTTATGTCACATTTACATGGTCCGCCCTTCTAGATGGGCAAAATTTTTGGCCCCTCGTCTGAAAACCTTGCCCACTCCTGTTTTAACCTCAGATCAAGATTTATGTATTTCATGCGAATTTGGTTCCTAATTAATTTTGGACGTCCTGAGGTATCTGCTCCAAGATGGCGCACAGCCTGAACTCAGGTTATTGCAGTAGTTTAAATCCATATTTCTCATTTCAAACCAATATTGCATATTTTTTGAAAAGCTATGAATTTTATTGTATGCTGAACTTGAATAGATTAAAATTTTGTAAAAATATTTCATTTGAATGAATAGACATATTTTGTTAACAACACTCCTACTCTCCTAGTATACAAATCTGGGTGCTCCCGAAGTATGCGAACCAAGATGGCGGACATCGGAACGTAACATGGGTAACAGGTTAAGGTTAGGCGATAATTTTTTTCCAATTTTCCTTATTTTAGTCCTATTATCAGTTCGAAGACTATCCAAGAGCCTCCCGTAGTATTTATAGCTAAAATTATGGCCTAACCCTAACCTAGTACACATATTACATTCCGATGTCCGCCATCTTGGTTCGCATACTTCGGGAGCCCCGAAATCTGATATTAAATTAATAATACTGGTGGTTGTTTACCTTGAAACCTAACTATTGTTTTTGACATGTAATACTTTCCAATCTTATAAAAAACCTTTTGTGATAATCTGTATTGTAGATTTATATCAGACTTGATAGAGATTTTTTTTTCATCCATCATAATATTAGGTATAAAGAGTTACCGTAAATCAAATATTATTTTTCATTATACAATCCTCAGAATGCATGTTAATTTTTACTGATTGAGGTTATTGTATTGGGAATTTATTGCTGCCCAATATTAGATATTGAAATTGGGCTATTTGTTAGTAAAAAGTGTTATCTATTATGCACCTTTCAACATACCTAGTCAAACTGGATTTGGTAGTATTTGATGAGGTTGACTTGTCAAAATTTTTGAGCCATGTACCTTGACAGTTGACATATATTGGTAGTATTTTTTGTTGTAATCATTACTCTTATTAACATTTTTGGCAACTACCGTAGTTTTCCTCAAGTTTAATGCATTTGCCATCAAAATTTTATTCTCCATACCCATTTTTGGCTTTGTTTAGTTCAATTTTTTTGATAAATTTGTTTTCACCTGATATGCTTTGGTTCCAAAAATCTTGTAATTACATACTGTAGTCTGTATTGGTTTATAAAGTCAATTCAAAACTCCAGAACAATATTTTTGGCATTAACTCCGACTACTCAGTATAAGCAAGAAAGGTAGCCGATTTTTAACCCCTGTAAATAATACTTGTGTTTATTTTCAGAAAATTACTACCTATCATAATTATGCAATATTTTTTTGAATATTTGTCCTTTGAAACATGGATACTATTAGGCTCTTTGATCCTGTTGGCAAGATATTATATTCAACTAAAATGGAGTATGTTGAACAGCCTGCATATTCCACATGACCCACCTTCTATTTGGAACTTCGGGCATTTGAAGCAAGCAGTTATGAACAGAATTTCCAATTATGACTCTGATCAAAAAGAAAAACACGGTCCAATTTGGGGTTATTATGTTTTCTTTCGGCCTAGGATAGTCTGCCATGACTTGGAAATACTTCAGCAAATATTTATTAAAGAATTTTCAACTTTTCCTAATAGATTGGGTGGATTTGCGGGTTTAAATGGAGAGGAAATGGCGAATGGTTTACTCGAAGCTGCGGACAGCCAGTGGAAGCGTATGCGTAAAACAATGACTCCAACATTTTCTACTTCCCGGCTGAGACAAATGTTTAATATCATTGACTGGTGTACGAATAATACTCTTGCTGTATTTAAAAATACGGTTGACAGGAAAAATGGAGTGTTTACAGCCAAAGATGTTTTCTCAAGATTGTCCCTTGATGTCATATGCTCATCTGCTTTTAGTACTGATGTTAATTCACAAGATGATTCTAAAGATGAGCCTCAAATCTCTGTCAATGCTAAAAATCTTTTTAAGAATAGTCGTTTTGATCCAACATTTCTTATTAGCATTATGTTTCCATCACTTGGAGGTAAACTTTTTAAATTTAGTAAGAGAAGTCCTCTGTTTCGTTATTTTAATGATGTATGCAAGAAAATAATACAGCAGAGAAATGCTGAAGATTCTCTTTCAAATCGGATTGACTTATTACAACTTATGTTGAATTCTAAAGTCCCTGCTTCTGAGTTGGACAAAGATTCCAAGAAAGGAATGTCAGAAATAGAGATAATTGGAAATTCGATCGTTATGATTTTAGCTGGATATGAAACCACCAGTACTGTCATGTCATTTCTTGCTTATAATTTGGCTCAATATCCTGAAGTTCAACACAAACTTCAAGCTGAAATAGATGAAATGTATGAAACGAAAGATTCGCTAGACTTTGACACTGTGAATTCACTTCAATATCTTGATATGTGCATTAATGAAAGTATACGCCTCTACACACCAGTTCCCAGAACAGTTCGTAAGAGTAATAAAGACATTACTCTTAGTGGTTTAACAATACCTAAAGACATGTTGATTGTAATACCAATTGCTTCACTTTGCCACGATCCTGAGTATTGGAACGAACCCATGGAATTTCAACCAGAAAGAATGAGAAATGTAAATGAAATGCATCCTATGGTATTTCAGCCATTTGGAAGTGGACCAAGAAATTGTATTGGTATGCGGTTCGCATTAATGGAGGTAAAAGTTGCATTCTGTAAACTCCTGCATGAATTTAGTTTTAAGCCAACTTTAGATACCCCTGTACCTCCACTGCAAATAATAGTTAATGCGTCTACCATTCGGCCAAAGGTAAACTTTAATCTTCAAATTGTACCAAGGATGAATCAGGTAGATAGATAGTTTTATTGGAGTTCACTTCAAATTTCTTGAACTTTTCTTATATATGGAATACATCTCGAACAAGTATTATATTATATATACACAATTAAATTTCTAAATATATTACATCTCCACTTCATATCAATTAACACATACGGTATATTTTTTAAAGGCATAACTCAGGTTTAAATATTTCAGATTCAATGGTACTTGATATACCAGTATTTTAAACTCAGGGGAATATTTAATAATTCAAATGGTATTTTTCTACTATATCAAAATTATATATATTGGTATGAACCCTCTTCCAAAGTCATTGACTGTGGCGCTAGCTGAATAAATTTGTATAATTACTCCCCTACATCATCTATCTGTATTGATATGTATCAGTACTTGATTTATAATATTATATAAAGATATACCTTTTCATAACCATGTAGATTTTTATTAGTAGAATCATATTTTTAGATTACTGCCACAAGATTATCAGTTTCATAAATGTTATTTATTATTATTTCATTTGCTGTAAATATTGCATTACTTTTTATTTTTTATACCAGAATCATAGTTTGATATATTTTCAGCATTAGTGTATCATTAGAATTGTTTCAGGATCTATGTATCATTTTGCAAAATTATTATTGTTCTTGTTGGGGTTTGTTGCCTTGTGGGGTATTCTTCTCTCTTTTCTCCACCAATAATAGACCAATCAATTCTAACTTTGTAGTACTTTAATTAATAAAGTTCTATACTAATTCTCAGCTAAGCTTTCACTGGTACTGAAGTAAATTGCCTCAGTTGTTGTCTATGACCGACTATTCACTTATTTCAAGTCTTTTATTATTTATTTCACCTTCGTGCCCATATTTCTGAACATTTCTATATTATTTATATTAAGTTTAGTTTAATAGTAGTAAAATTCAGTCAAAAATAAGGAATGGCTTGTGACTCGTCGTGAGTTCTAAAATAGTACAGAAGCTAAATTGTTGGGGCATTTATTAAAACTCATGCATATGCATATTTTTACAGTAGGCCTTCTAAGTTATTGCATGTAGTTAGAGTAGTACTTGAAATGAAACTAGATTTCTGTTACTGGTAATATATTGTCATGAAATACTCTCAAGTTGGTCACACAATACACTTGAAGTTCATTGTATTATTTATTTGTGTATTTGAACTTGTCTTTTTTCACTTGCTCCAACTTGTCAGTATTCAATATGTCTTATGATTTTGTACAGTTCTATATCATATGCAAATAAACTGTCATCTTTTTTTTTATCAGTTCACATTCAGTATTTGCTGTCTGTATTTTGTCAGGAATTATGACTTATTTTTTGGAATATTTGTCATTTGAGACATGGATACTCGTTGGCTTTTTGTTGCTGCTGGCAAGATATTATATTCATCGTGAATGGAGTGTTTTGAGCCGGCTGCAAATACCTTATGATCCACCTTCCATGCTCAACCTTGGTAATTTGAGACAAGCGATGTCGAATGAGGTGTTTACTTATGACTTGGACCACAAGGAAAAATATGGTTTGATTTGGGGTTTCTATGCATTACTGAGACCCAGAATAGTTTGTCATGATTTGGAAATACTTCAGCAAATATTCATCAAAGAATTTTCGAGTTTTCCAAACAGATCGCCAAATGCTGCAGGAATAAACGGGAAAGAAATGCAAAATGCTCTGATAGAATCAAAAGATGGCCAATGGAAACGTATGCGCAAAACAATAACTCCAACATTTTCTACTTCTAAGTTGAAACAAATGCTCAATATTATGGACTGGTGTGTCAAAAACACTGTTTCAAGTCTCCAGAAAAAGATCGAACAAACAAATGGAGTTTTTTCAGCCAAAGATGTTTTTGCAAAATTGTCACTCGATGTCATATGCTCATCCGCTTTTAGTACTGATGTTAATTCACAAGATGAATCTAAACAGGAGCCTCAAATCTCTGTCAATGCAAGAAATATTACTAAAATGGGTAATGACCCTACTCTTTACCTGAGCATTTTGTTTCCATGGATTGGTCCTAAACTTTATGAATACAGCAGAAGGAAACCTGGGATTCAGTTTTTAAGTAATGTTTGTAAAAAAATAATACAGCAGAGAAATGATGATGATTCTGTTTCAAACCGGGTGGATTTACTACGGCTTATGTTGGATTCCAAAGTCAAGACTTCTGATATAAATAAGGATTTGAAAAAAGGATTGTCAGAAATAGAGATCACCGGAAATTCGATTATTATGATTCTAGCTGGATATGAAACCACCAGTACCACCATGTCATTTCTTGCTTATAATTTGGCTCAATATCCTGAAGTTCAACGCAAGCTTCAAGCTGAAATTGATGAAATGTACAGAACCAAAGGGGTACTTGATTATGATGCTGTTAATTCTCTTCAATATCTTGACATGTGCATAAATGAAAGTATTCGTCTCTACACACCTATTCCCAGAACTTACCGTACAAGCAATAAGGAGATAACTCTCAGCGGCTTTACCATTCCCTATGGTATGGTAGTTGTAGTTCCAATTTATGCTCTTTGTCATGATCCAGAGCATTGGAATGATCCCATGGAATTTCAACCAGAAAGAATGGAAAATATAAGTGAAATGCATCCAATGCTGTTTCAGCCATTTGGAAGTGGACCAAGGAATTGTATTGGTATGCGGTTCGCATTAATGGAAGTGAAAATTGCATTCTGTAAACTTCTACATGAGTTCACATTCGAGCCGACATTGGATACTCCCAAACCCCCATTGAATCTGGAAATAAATGGTAACACTAGTCGCTCAGAAGTAAATTTCAATCTTCGAGTTGTGCCTAGAGAAAGTTGAATGGATAAATGATTTTTTATTTCAATAATTACATTTCCCTAATTATGCAGTACGCTATTCTTCAATTATTATTGATATCAACATCACAATTTCAGTAGTAGAAAAGCTTAACCCTTTTCAAGAGTCACTGGCAAATGGGTAATTTATGTTGAAGACGAACATTGGGAAGTGTCAGAACAACTATGACTTCAGCATTTTCAGTTGAGGTTGATGATGATAAACGTATTATGGAAAAAATGGAAATATGAAAATTTGATGAAAAGATGATTTTTGAAGATTGTTATTTGCGCATCTACTGTAATACAGACATTCATTCTAGAATACTTCCAAAAAAGAACCGCAGACCCAGTGTTACTCAACAAATTGTCATTTAATCACACCTTACATGCTCATGACATCAAAATTTACAATTGTCTTGTAAACGGTTTAATAAAAGCAGTTTTTATAGGCTTATTGTTTCACAACCCTTATCTGTATCATGCAATTTGTGTTGCGTCTTTCAAGATATTTTGATTAATTGTTAGTGCTAACTAAATTGTTATATCTATTAAGTTCCTATCCTATTGTTCTCTCTCTTCTACAATCACTGTTAAACATTGTATTTTGAGCAACTAAATTGTATTATTATTAGTCTGTCTATCAACCAAATCCTACTGTTTGGGTATATTGCAGTGTATTATTTTATTTTTTCAATTGATGTTATCAGCAGTATGTTGCATTCCTTTTACTTCAATTCAATTCATATAGTTTGCTAGTAGTGTCCGACGTTTTATCATCGCTAATTCATTGCTATTTTTAATTTAGATAGATTTTGATAGATTGAACATATTTTAAATTGTCCCATGAAATATTGATACATTTTTCATCAGCATTGTTTCTGATCTATCTATATTTGTTCTGAAGAAAAGAAAATAATTTGAATATGGGATGGAAGTTGTAGAAACAACCAGTTGAAGAACCAGCAGGTAAGATGGTTTTGACGAGAGTGTGATATTTTAGGTAGGACTTAAAAAAGTTTCTATGCAATGGTATTGGTGACTTCATATGGTGACTTCAGATATATGACTCGCATTTTGTATAGGTCATATGATGGAATTTTGCCTTGCTGTTGCTGTGTTTGCCATTCTTGGGATATTATAAATATTTCCATTCTTGCCATTGTAAAATGTTGTGTGAAACTGGTAAAAACCATCATATGGATAGCAACGAATATTTATTGTAAATTAGGATATATCTATAAGGGATTATTTCTGTGTTAATATTATGAATCATTCATAATATAAATTTATGCGTCCTTCCATACCATAGCCAAGTCATATATGAAAACCAGTTATATACCGTATTATTGATAATAAGGACTTATCTATATTCAATATTTTTCATTATTCAGATTCATGTTGAACTTTCTCTGTACAAATGCTAAAACAGAGATTGAAATAAGGATATACTTGCTGATTTGAGCAATATAAAAGAATTTTTCCGTTGGATAAAGATGATCTGGCCTTCAGATCTACTGTCTTCTTCCACATGGTGCCTCCTCGTCCTCATCATTGTTTTGATCAAATATTATTTGCATCGGAAATGGAGTTTGTTAAAGAACTTGAACGTTCCGCATATTCCTCCATCTATCAGAAATTTTGGGAATGCACGGGCAGTATGGTCAGAAAAGCCATTCATGTTTGATCTTGAATGCAAAGAAAAGTTTGGTCCAATTTATGGGTTTTATATTATGACCAAACCCAGAATTGCCGTTCATGATTTAAACATTCTGCAGCAAATATTTGTGAAGGATTTTTCAAATTTCACTAATAGAGCAGAAAATCTTAACCCGGTTGAAGAATCAGTGGCAAATGGTTTATTGTTTATTGAAGATGAACATTGGAAACGTGTCAGAACAACAATGACTCCAGCATTTTCAAGTTTAAAACTAAAATTGATGACAGGAATTGTTGAGAGATGTGTCAGCAATACTATAGAGGTGTTAGAGAAAAAGTGTAAAAATGAAAATGGCATTTTCAATGTGAAAGATGTTTTTGGAAGATTATCTCTTGATGTTATTTGCGCATCTGCTTTTAGTACTGACATCAATTCTCAGGATACCTCCAAAAAAGAACCCCAGATTTCTATTCAGGCTAAAGAAATATTTAAGGCGGGATTTTTTAACATATATTTTCTTATTGGGATTTTGTTTCCGTTTCTTATCCCCTTCATAGGAAAGATATTGGCGAAAAAACCCTTTATGGTTTACTTCAAGCAACTATGCAATAAAATCATGAATCAGAGAGACGATCATCAACATGACAATAACCGTGTGGATTTGATGCAGATTATGTTAGACTATAAAGTGTCTGATACAGTGATTAAAGAAGGCGCCAGAAAAGGAATGTCAGAAATTGAAGTTATCGAAAATTCTGTGACAATGCTTTTAGCAGGATATGATACTACAAGCATTGCAATGGCAAATTTAATATATAATTTGGCTCAATATCAAGACGTACAGGAGAAACTCCACTTGGAAATTGATGAAGTGTTTCGTAAAAAAGATGGAAATTTAGATTATGATAGTGTTAATGAATTAAATTTCCTTGATTTGTGTATAAATGAAAGCATTCGTTTGTATCCTCCAATTGCTAAAACAACAAGGGTGGCTAAAAAAGAAATAAACATCCATGGATTGACTATACCAGCTGGAATGCTTATGGTAATGCCCATTCATGCATTATGCCATGATCCTGAATACTGGGACGATCCAATGGAATTCAAGCCGGAGAGAATGAAATACATGGATGGAATGAATCCCATGGTTTATCAACCATTTGGTAGCGGACCAAGAAACTGCATTGGAAAGAGATTTGCACTCATGGAAATGAAAATAGCAATCTGTAAATTACTTCATCAATATAAATTTGTCCCCACAAGTGAAACTCCAAAACCTCCATTGAAGTTGAAATTTGATCTCACAGTTCATCCTAAAGATGAAATCAGTCTTAAAGCTATTCTTCGACAAAACCGTTGAATGTAATTTTGTTTGAACTTTATTATAGAAAACAAAAAGTTATGAATACTTTGACACCTGTGGCTGACTCGATAAAAATGTACAATTGTATTTCTTAGCAAAAATGTATTTCGTTACATATTACATGTACCGTATGTCATATTATGATCATATAACTTTCTATAATATAAGTACCAAGATAAGGAAATGTGACTCAAGAAATTGTTTGATGATGTGCATGCTGTATAGTCGAATAGCTAAAGTTTTATAAAGAAGCCTTTGTTTCTACAATGATTCATTTTTTATTGAAATTTTAAATCTGCATGTTTTCTCATATGCATTTCTTAACAAAACATCAGAAGAAATTAAATTGTATATTAAAGTTCTTTCATGCAATACTCACCACTTTTCGTTAACAATTTATATATGTATATATATTAATATTTACACCTTACACACCAATTAACATTTTACAATTAAGTGTCTTAAATGATTTGATAAAATTTTCGTCCTAATCAGGTTTTAATTGTTACTTTTACAAATTAATATCATGCATTTATGTACACTTATGAGATTATCCTATTATAACTATTTCTTTGTATTTACCTATTAGCTATGTTTATAGGGTTTGGGGTTTCACGAGCCGTTTCTGTATCATGCAATTTGTATACTTTTAGAAAATCTTTGTGCCTTTGTTATCAACTAAAATTATTATATCTAAAAAGGACATATGGTTCTCTTCTCTAATACCGTCAATTTTTATTTACAAATATTTGAAATTTGAGCCACTGAATTGTGTTACTGCTAATAACTGCAACCCTCAACCATATGCAATCATATATCTTTTTATTAGGAATGGTGTGCTTCGACAAAATCCTACTATTGGTATATTGAACTGTATCTTTGTACCTACCGTTATCAGTTGAGTTAAGTATCCTCCAATTGCTAAAACAACAAGGGTGGCTAAAAAAGAAATAAACATCCATGGATTGACTATACCAGCTGGAATGCTTATGGTAATGCCCATTCATGCATTATGCCATGATCCTGAATACTGGGACGATCCAATGGAATTCAAGCCGGAGAGAATGAAATACATGGATGGAATGAATCCCATGGTTTATCAACCATTTGGTAGCGGACCAAGAAACTGCATTGGAAAGAGATTTGCACTCATGGAAATGAAAATAGCAATCTGTAAATTACTTCATCAATATAAATTTGTCCCCACAAGTGAAACTCCAAAACCTCCATTGAAGTTGAAATTTGATCTCACAGTTCATCCTAAAGATGAAATCAGTCTTAAAGCTATTCTTCGACAAAACCGTTGAATGTAATTTTGTTTGAACTTTATTATAGAAAACAAAAAGTTATGAATACTTTGACACCTGTGGCTGACTCGATAAAAATGTACAATTGTATTTCTTAGCAAAAATGTATTTCGTTACATATTACATGTACCGTATGTCATATTATGATCATATAACTTTCTATAATATAAGTACCAAGATAAGGAAATGTGACTCAAGAAATTGTTTGATGATGTGCATGCTGTATAGTCGAATAGCTAAAGTTTTATAAAGAAGCCTTTGTTTCTACAATGATTCATTTTTTATTGAAATTTTAAATCTGCATGTTTTCTCATATGCATTTCTTAACAAAACATCAGAAGAAATTAAATTGTATATTAAAGTTCTTTCATGCAATACTCACCACTTTTCGTTAACAATTTATATATGTATATATATTAATATTTACACCTTACACACCAATTAACATTTTACAATTAAGTGTCTTAAATGATTTGATAAAATTTTCGTCCTAATCAGGTTTTAATTGTTACTTTTACAAATTAATATCATGCATTTATGTACACTTATGAGATTATCCTATTATAACTATTTCTTTGTATTTACCTATTAGCTATGTTTATAGGGTTTGGGGTTTCACGAGCCGTTTCTGTATCATGCAATTTGTATACTTTTAGAAAATCTTTGTGCCTTTGTTATCAACTAAAATTATTATATCTAAAAAGGACATATGGTTCTCTTCTCTAATACCGTCAATTTTTATTTACAAATATTTGAAATTTGAGCCACTGAATTGTGTTACTGCTAATAACTGCAACCCTCAACCATATGCAATCATATATCTTTTTATTAGGAATGGTGTGCTTCGACAAAATCCTACTATTGGTATATTGAACTGTATCTTTGTACCTACCGTTATCAGTTGAGTTAAGTTTTTCTTTCAATCATGTCTATGCCACATACAGAACGTAAAATGTGTTCCTGGATAGGGTTTGGCTATAATTTCAGGTACAAATACTATGAGAGTCACTTGACTAGAACTCGAACTTGTAATTGTAACTTGTAAATAAGGAAAATTGGAAAAAAATTCTAACCTAACCCTAACCTGGTACATTTACTACATTCCGGTGTCCGCCATCTTGGTTTACATACTTCGGGAGTACCCAGAAAAGTTCTTGCCTTTTATTATAATTTTTTTGTTTGCTTTCATAACCCTGTTGCAACTTATTCATGGTTGAAATACTTATACACAATTATTGCATTTATACAGATCTTAATGCAATATTTTAATGTTTATGACATGGATAATATTTGATATAACACATATAAAAGATAAATTCGAGTTTCTATAAGCCTATGCTCATGAGGAAGTGTATTATAAGTGTACTCTGCAATATGGATTCTACATTGGAATGAAGAATGAAATTTCTGAATTTGTAGGTATAATAGTAAGTTAAGGGATATTTTTACAAAATGTTACAAACAAATTTTAAGGAAATTTTATGTAGGTCAAAGACTTGGATCAATAGCCTATTGACTAATTTGACTCACATGACACTGACAAATTATATCATATATAATTGGGAAATATGTTTTTCTACTTTTAAAATGTAGCATGATATGTTACATTTTAATTTGTACTATAATGGTGGAATTCATATTGCTAATTTATTGTTTGTTTCGTTTATTGGCAAACGACTATTTTTACTTTTTAATCAATCTTTTGTATAAGTAGTTTCAAAAGTACTAAATATTTGAAAGCCTATAAAACTAAAACTTAGAACTAGAAGCCCAAAATTCCATTTTGCATGATGGTTTACATTCCGATGATAAACGAAAATGCCATTATCAAATACATTTCGAAATAAAAGTGATTGTTTTCTCAGCATTTTGGTAGAATATTTTGCAAATCAGCATTTAACCCGTATATTAACCCAACCTTCTTTCTGTTTTATTCTGGCCAAATAGGCTACCTATGCACATATATAGTCTTTTCCAATATTTTTTATTATCCAGATTTGTGTTAAACTATAGGCGTATTACTCAGTACAAATGCTAGAACAGAGATCGAAATATGGATATACTTGCTGACTTGAGCAATATAAGGGACTGTTATTAAAATTTTTCAGTTGGATAAAGATGATCTGGCCTTCAGATCTACTTTCTTCTTCTAAATGGTGTCTTCTTGTTCTCATCATTGTTTTGATCAAATATTATTTGCATCGGAAATGGAGTTTGTTAAAGAACTTGAACGTTCCTCATATTCCTCCATCTATCAGAAATTTTGGGAGTGCACGGGCAGTATGGTCAGAAAAGCCATTTACGTTTGATCTTGAATGCAAGGAAAAGTTTGGTCGAATTTATGGGTATTATATTATGACCAAACCCAGAATTGCCGTTCATGATTTAAACATTTTGCAGCAAATATTTGTGAAGGATTTTTCAAATTTCACTAACAGAGTTGAAAAGCTTAACCCATTTGAAGAAACAATGTCAAATGGTTTATTGTTCATTGAAGATGAACAATGGAAACGTGTCAGAACAACAATGACTCCAGCATTTTCAAGTTTAAAACTGAAATTGATGAAAGGAATAGTCGAGAGATGCGTCAGCAATACTATAGACGTATTAGGGAAAAAGTGTAAAAATGAAAATGGCATTTTCAATGTGAAAGATGTTTTTGGAAGATTATCTCTTGATGTTATTTGCGCATCTGCTTTTAGTACTGACGTTAATTCTCAGGATACCTCCAAAAAAGAACCCCAGATTTCTATTCAGGCTAAAGAATTATTTAAAGCGGGATTTTTTAACATATATTTTCTCATTGGGATTTTATTTCCGTTTCTCGAAACCTTCATAGGGAAGATATTGGCGAAAAAATCCTTTATGGTTTACTTCAAGCAACTATGCAATAAAATCATAAATCAGAGAGACGATCATCAACATGGCAATAACCGTGTGGATTTGATGCAGATTATGTTAGACTATAAGGTGTCTGATACAGTGATTAAAGAAGGCGTCAGAAAAGGAATGTCAGAAATTGAAGTTATCGCAAATTCTGTGACAATGCTTTTAGCAGGATATGATACTACAAGCATTGCAATGGCAAATTTAATATATAATTTGGCTCAATATCAAGACGTACAGGAGAAACTCCACTTGGAAATTGATGAAGTGTTTCGTAAAAAAGATGGAAATTTAGATTATGATAGTGTTAATGACCTAAATTTTCTTGATTTGTGTATAAATGAAAGCATTCGTCTGTATCCTCCAATTGCTAAGACAACCAGGGTGGCTAAAAAAGAAATAAACATCGATGGATTGACTATACCAGCCGGAATGCTTATGGTAATGCCCATTCATGCATTATGCCATGATCCTGAATACTGGGACGATCCAATGGAATTCAAGCCGGAAAGAATGAAATACATGGATGGAATGAATCCCATGGTTTATCAACCATTTGGTAGCGGACCAAGAAATTGCATTGGAAAGAGATTTGCACTCATGGAAATGAAAATAGCAATCTGTAAATTACTTCATCAATATAAATTTGTCCCCACAAGTGAAACTCCAAAACCTCCATTGAAGTTGAAATTTGATCTCACAGTTCATCCTAAAGATGAAATCACTCTTAAAGCTATTCCCCGACAAAACCATTCAATGTAATTTTGTTTGAATTTTAATATAGAAAACAAAAAGTTATAAATACGGTACTTGAAGACCTGCAGCTGACCTGATAAAAAGACACAATTGTTTTTCTTAGCAAAAATGTATTTCCTTGCATATTACGGGTACCTTATGTCATATTATGACCATATAACTTTCTATAATGCAAGTACCAAGATAAGGAAATGTTACACAAGGAATTGTCTTGATGATGTGCATGCTGTATAGCAGGGGTGAGCAACTTCTCTAGTCAGCGGGCCAGATGTACGAAAATGAACCGGATTATTACAAAAAATACTTCGGTATCCAATCTTTGATAAATGCTCGACACTCTCTGTCAACTTATGGTGTTTCTTTCACCTGCTCGCACTGACAGTGCGGTGAGAGTAGAGCGATCGGCAACTTTCAGGAATGATGCGTCGGACCACATTACAGAGTGTGGTTGGATACAGTCAGCGGGCCGTTCAAAATCTGGTCGCGGCCCACGGGCCCTATGTTGCCCACCTCTGCCGTATAGTCTAGTAGCTTAAGTTTTGTAAAGAAGCCTTTGTTTCTACAATGATTCATTTTTTGCCAATTTATATTGCAACTTGTATTGAAATTTTAAATCTGCATGTTTTCTCATATGCAAATTTGAAAAAAAACATCATGAAAAGAAATTAAATTGTATATTAAAGTGTATTTGTGCAATTAACACTACTTTATGTTAACAATTTGTATAATATATCAAATTAAATTATATATTAGAGTGTATTTGTGCAATTAACACCACTTTATGTTAACAATTTGTATAATATATGTATATATAATTGCACGATACACACCCAAAAAATAAAATGAAATTTTACAATTGAGTGTCTTTTAAATGATTTGATAAAATTTTCGTCCTAATCAGGTTTTAATTGTTACTTTTACAAATTAATATCATGCATTTATGTACACTTATGAGATTATCCTATTATAACTATTTCTTTGTATTTACCTATTAGCTATGTTTATAGGGTTTGGGTCTCACAAGCCTTTTCTGTATCATGCAATTTGTATACTTTTGAGAAATGTTTGTGCCATATTTTGACTTTTTGTAGCTGTTATCAACTAAAATATTATATCTATTAAGGTTCTCTCTGATAACATCAATTTTTATTTATAATAATTTAAATTTTGAGCCACTGGATTGCGTTATTAATAATAATTGCAACCTCTGTCACATGCAGTCATATGTATTTTTATTAGGAATGATGTGCTTCAACCTAATCCTACTCTTGGGTATATTGAACTGTATTCTATTTGCCTACGAGTAGTTTTTCTTCCAATCATGACAATGTCAACCAGAGATATGTTCCTGGCCCTGCCTTGTAATATAATTTTTTTTGTTTGCTTTCATTAGCCTGTTGCAACTTTCCAGTGTTGAAATACTTATAAACAATTATTACATTTATACAGATTTTAAATCTAAATGCAGTAGTTTAATATTTATGACATGGATATTATTTGATGAAAAAGATTTAAAAGAGAAATTTGAGTTTTTCTAAACATTGTCTCATGAGAAAGTGTATTATGAGTGCAATATGGATTCTACGTTGGATCACAGAATGAAATTTCTGAATTCGACAATGATGTTTTTGAAATCAAGACAACAGTAAGCTGATGGATATTTTTGAAAAATATTAAAAACAAATTTATGTAGGTCAAAGACTTGATCAATATTGACTTACGTCGGTGTATGTCAAAGACTTGATTAATATTGTCTCACATGACACTGACAAAGCAACTGTGTACTTTGGACCATATTGTCATTATTTTTAATAAATAATTTGAATCATATGAATGGTTCCATAATATATTTATGATTTAAATCAAAATTGTTCAAAAATATGTTAGCTTAACTCAGCATTTTTAATCAATCTCTGCAATATGGATTCTACATTGGATCACATAATTGACTTACTGACTTTGACTATAAAGCTTTTGAAATCAAGACAAGATTGGTAGGTCTAACAGTAATTTGAGGGATAATTTAAAAAAATGTTAAACACGAATTCTAGTCGCTATGTAGGTCAAAGACTTGATCAATATTGACTTATTCGACTCTCATGACACTGACAAGCGACGGGTGTACTTTGGACCATACTGTCATTTTTTTTTTAAATAATTTGATTTATATAGAATGGTGAATAATATATTTATGATTTTAATCATAACTGTTCGAAAGTATGTTAGTTCAACTGAGCATTTTACAACTATGTACAAAATGTCCATTTTGTCAATATTTCTTATAATATTATATATACCGCCATCGCTAATATTTATATACACGAGTATTTTCATATGTGTTTACCTGCTTATAATAATATGGTATGTAAAAATATGTTGATATTTTACAATGTAATTCATACCATTCCAGTAAAATTCAAATTGCAGCTTTTTTTCGTTGTGGTCACTGGCAAACAAATATTTTATACCTTTTAATTAATCTTTTATATTATTATATTTGTAAATAGTAAACATTTGAAAGATTTCAGTATATACTAATTTCCTTTTGCACTGATGGCTCACATTCCAATGATAAATGAAAATGCTGTTATCAAATAATTTTCAAAATTGAAGAATATTTTGCATATCAGCATTTAACCCATATGTTAACCAAAACCTTTATTCTGTTTTATTTTGGCCAATTCTGATGCCAGGTTCTTTAACAGAACCAATGCAGTTTTGCTATGTACTATCAGTTCTGGCATTGTGTTGTAGTGTCTTCAATTATCTTTCAACTTATCTTTATTCAAATTGAAACGATCTGCCCTAATCAATATAATAAGATATCATGACATAACTTGTGTTATTGAGCTGATCAGATTCATGCTTTTGAAATTTTTGTTAAAATTCTTTGTAAGCTCTTAACTTGCGGACATTAATTTGTTTAATCAAGTGGCAAATGTCAGAATATTCAACTTGAACTCCCAGTTTCAGTAAGAATGCTGGATGAAAGCAAAAAATTACTGCAACTAAATATTGCATTATGATTGGAACTACCATTGTGTTATATTTTACAGATATTGATACGTTTATTAACTACAGTATAGTGTTCGATAGCAAACAACAATTAGTTTTTGTCCGTAACTGCTCATTATCTGCAAGAGAATCGCTATCACTAAAAAATCAGTAGTAAAGTTGAGATTGTAAGTATAAGTTGAGCAAGGTTGTTAGTAGTCAGTATCCAACATGAATGAAATTGAAGCTCAAAATGAGAATCCGGAATGGGAAAAAGCAAGGAAAGCACTCGAAAACCTCAATCAAGACAAGAGTGGTAGCAATAACAGTAAGGTAAGTTATGAATTGAAGAATACATTACTTGAATCTGGTTTTCCAGTTCAATATTATTGTATTTTCTTTAGAATGCAGTAAACTAATAATCGAATCATTTTGTTTTTTCAGTATGGCCAAGGAACACCTAGGAATGGACCAGATAAGTTTTTTCAAGGTAACAACAACATGAGGAATATGGGATATCATCCTTCAGGTTCATGGGGTTCGCCATTTGGATATGGAGCCATGGGAGGGTATAGTCCAATGCAAAGAGGACCCTACCCACCTATGGGATACATGAACCAATTTGGATCGATGGGTCCAGGAATGCGTAGAGGATCTCCAATGCAAGGAAATAGATTTCGTATGGGAATGAATAATATGTCTCGAGTAAGTATGCAGTATTTCAAATGAAATGATTGGTGTTACAAATTGTTTTGAATGTTGACTATAACAAAATTCTTTATTTAGATGCCATCAAACCCTTATGGAAATTTATATACGGGATTTGGATCATCACCAAATGGCCGGAGGATTGATGATAGTCCAAACAAAAATGTCTCTAGTAGAGATCATAGAAATGACGACAATGAACCGCCTCTGCCTCCTGATTCATCTCAGGGCCCTCCTCCACCGCCACCAGGTTCTGAAGGGAAACCATCTTTCCCTAAACCAAGATTGCCCAATAATTCCTATCGATTTAGGCATGACAAAGGTCCAGGTAGGTCATTATTAATAGCGTTATGTAATTGGTTATGTGTGTTTCATGTATTACAAGTTACAACTTTAGAATATGATTTATTATGTTTTAATAAGGACCTATTCGATTTAATCTTGGATCAACAAAATCAGAGTCAGAAAAATCAAACCCAAGTGAAGAGAAGATGAGTGAAGGGAAATCATCTCGTAGTCCACCCAAGATAGATGATCATCAGATGAAAAATGATGAATCCAAAAATGAAACGAAACAACCTGATGGTGCAAATTCTTTTCAAATGGGGAATAAGTCTTGGTCACCAGAATTAATGTTAGTAGTTTCTATTTGTTATATGTCGTAATAGGTATCAATTATTATGTGTTACTGTTTTCAAGCCTATCAACTTTCATAATAACTTGTCGTTAAATTTCCCAAATTACTTGATTATTTCTGCTAAGTAAAATTCAAACTTGCTCAAATTTGTTCCTGTCTAACTTCCTACACCATAATTATAATATTATGTCATTTTACGAAATCTTATCTTTTATCTCATTGATAAGTGCAATCTTCTTCACACTTAGAAGGTGTTAGATTGTTATCACTTTTATCTTGACACTTCACAATTGCTTCATTGGTACAGTTACAGAGCTTTTATCTGAATGTTAATAAGAAACAGTACACTGACAAATATGTATTCTTGCAGGGAATATATTCAACGTTCATTTCAAGCGTGCACCTCTGAAAGTGATAAAGATAGAACAGAAGCATATTTGAAAAGTCTTTTAAATGAAAGAATGAAGAGTGGGGTGGCACATCAAATTGATTGGAATGTTGAACCTCTGCCTATGTAAGATTAAAATGAAGTTTTTGTTGTTGTTTTGTAGTAGGATGAGATCTTAGTTACGGAAATCTTTTCATCCAGAGTAACCCAAGTTAGAAAATTTCAGTAATATCATATTGTGAGTTTTTTTTGGACTTCTATGTGTTATGAAAATGCTTTAAAATTATGGAATTGAGTTAAATAAGCCTAAACTGATGGGTTTCAATAGCCAACTTGTATTTTTAGGCTTAGACGTGAACTGTTATCTAGTTTACAAATGCTTCAAGATTCTCATACTTTAGCAGATGTATTTCAGAAACCTAGCCATTTACAAATTCAGATCAGAAGTGGTTTATGTTTATGATAATTGTTAAGTATAAAAAGTGTACTTCTTTAGAAATTTTCAAGAATATATGTTAACATATTAACACTTTATCAATGGTTTAATCAGCCTGGCAATTTTTATCAGACTGCAAAATTGGTCTCCCCTGATAATATCTCATAGCTTCATTTTTTCCTACTCAGTGATCTGATAAAACCGAAACCAGAGTTAAAAATGGAATTACGAAATAAACTATCACAAAGACATGATAGCTCTCCGAAACAAAGTAGAAATACAGATAGAAGGAAAATTTCGAGGTTTGTAACCTTTACAAAGATAATATGTATAATTGTTCTATTTCATTTGGTATAGTCTTTTATGTGACAAAATGTTATCAATAGCATGCAGTTACTGGCTAATACTGTACTTTTATTTTTGGCTTCATATTTGCCTAGCCAGTTATGATTAATCTTTCAAATGAATATTTGTTTTCTGTGTCATATTCATGAATCATATAAAAGGTAATCGCTTTCAATAAACAGTATCCAATAAAGCAATTGTAGCAGCCTTTCATATTGCTTTTTTGAATATTGACCCGTAATCCTTTGCTAATCTGAAACCATAATACTGTTTACATATTCTTGTTATTGCGAATGGTTGTCAATGTGGTATGTTTTGTAATGATTAGATTTGTTTTTGCTATGCTCCATTAAATATGATCAATAATGATTTGAACATATCTAGATCATCACGAATAACAAGATATTCAAGGTCAACTAGCAGTTCAAAATCTCGTTCAAGGTCAAGATCGAACTCGCCGAAAAGAAGAAGATACAGGCGAAGGTGAAAAAAGATTACATTCCGCATTCTCTAAGTTTTATGTTGCAAGTTTACATAATTTATGTTCAATTACATAGTTTTTTTTCTCGCAGTTGACAAAATATTGAATAGGATATGTAATGAACATTGTGATGCAAACTTCTACTATTTGCTTTTATTATTTCTCTCATAATTTATAGAATACATCATGTTTAATATTATTCTCAATGATTTATCTTTTACCTGTTTTTGAACTTTTATTTAGTATGGAAAGATCATCTAGCGAAGATGACACAGTTTTCACGAGAGCAGGCAGAGGGCCGCTCTCTGGAAGAAAAGACAAACGAAAAGGAACCGCAAAGAGCCGTCTGGGGCCAAAACTAAAATTGGATCTTGAAAAGTCCGCATCGACACCGAAGACGCCAGCACAGACTCCAAATAAAAAGAAGGGGAAGAAGGTATAATCTATTGAATATTTGTGTTTTCAATGCTTCTTCTTTCTCATCTGTTTTAATTTTCTGAAACGAATAAACACCTTTTTTTTTTCTAGAACAAGAATACACCTTTCCGACTGGATGATCCTAACAAAGCGTTCAAGATGGCAAAACGAGCCAACAGATTTCAATCTCAAATCTCTTCCACCAGTGAAAAATTGACTTTTACCATCAACAATTATAATGCTAACAACGACGGGTGAGAGAGACATTTCACTATTAATTTATTTGTCTTGACTATACATGACAGTAATGTGCGTAAAATGCCGGAATTTGTTGTCAGTAAAGAAAGTGTAAAGGGCTGAGAACTGACCCCCGTGGAACGCATTGAGCGCACCAATATTTCCACCTTTGAATCTTCATCGTTGCTCCATTTCCAGTGTCTTCAGAAAATATATAACTTCTCATCCTTTCCATCATTCCAGCGCACCCGATTATTAATGCTTTTTTGTTTTTAAGTGTCTATTTTCTTTTTAATATCAATCCAATTTTATCACTTTCTAGAGAGGAGATGGATTGGGAAAGTATGCAAGTTGTTGGTACATGCCAAGATATATTCAAGCAATATTTGAGACTGACGTCAGCGCCTGACCCATCCACTGTAAGTTGTTGTCATGTTTTGAAATGTAGCTGCATTTCTTTTTGTTGTATCTTTTTATCCTTAAATCAAGAATGAACATATATGGTGAAGAAGTATGTTTCATATTTTATTTAATACTTTTGTGAAACAATTCAAACAAGCAATATTTCCACATTTAGGTGAGACCGATGGTGATTTTGAAGGTTTCATTAGAAAAAGTAAAAGAAGATTGGATGGAAAAACAAGATTATAGATATACGTGTGAACAGATGAAAAGTATAAGACAGGACCTTACGGTATGTGTTTATGTTAATTTATAAATAAATTTTATTAATCTGTCGTAACTAAAGCATAGTAAGAACGCACCTTTTTTTCTAATCTCCCTGTGTATTGTTTTAATAGGTTCAAGGCATTCGGGACACATTTACAGTAAAAGTATATGAAACACATGCGCGAATCGCCCTCGAAAAGGTATTTCATTTCCATAGAAGTTAATTTTTATTAGCAACGAATTGTAAAGTTAATGGCCGTACATGTATGGTGAATTTGAGGCAAATTTGATGACTAATTGTCAGCTTGTCCTTTTGCATCTTAACAACTTGTGAGAATCAGTAGTTGACTTTTCATGTCATCTCCCCTGGTTTCTCAGGAGGGCACGCGATCCTTGTTTACCCGCGTGACGATTGGGGCGGAAAAAAATAAATAAACCAATTGTCAGGATACTTGAAAACTTTAGTAGGTTTTTTCTGATTTTCAGCACATAAACTGACAGAGCTATTGTCAGCATATTTGATGTGCCTTCGGTTTCATGTTGTGAGTACTGCAGTGCAAAAATATTTGAATGTGAATTCTGATATTTTCCTAAATTGCCAAGTACTAATTTTATGTTGTATTGTAATTTTTAGGGTGATCACGAGGAATTTAACCAGTGCCAAAGCCAACTTCGTCAGTTATATTCAGAAGGTGTGGAATCTGATAACATACCAGAGTTCTTTGCATACAGTATTTTGTATTAT